AAAATTTTATCAAAATCAATAGCATCAAAACTTGTGACTTTTTAACTCTATAAACAACCATTTCCCACGATAAATAAAAGTCCAGGCTTTTTGGCATCATTGAAAGCTACTTTTTCGATAAAAATGGAACTCATAAATTTACTTACCTTGTCATTGGTCATTTGCAAAATTATTTTGTTAAAAAACATTCTGATTGTACAAATAAGCACTCTGAAGTTGATAAAAAGATGCTTGAGTTTCTGATTGAAAATATCTATTTGGTTTCTGGAGACCAGGTCTTCCAACAATCTGTTGGAATTCCCAAGGGCACCAATTGGCCCCTTTATTAGCAGACCTATTTTGTATTCATATGAAGCAGAATTTATTCAAAATCTTATACAGAAGAAGAAGAAGAAGAAGAAGAAGAAAACACGTGCTGTGGCCTATATCCCAGTGAGCTTGAAATAAAAGATACCACAGAGTCTGACACATCTGTTTCATATTTGGATATTCTACTAGAAAAAGACGTTAATGGTAACCTAACAACTACAGAGTAAGCTTTATGATAAACGTGATGACTTTAACTTTTCAATCGTCAACTTCCCTCACTTATGCAACAATATACCATTATCATCTGCATACGATGTTTATATCTCTCAGTTGATTCGATACGCAAAAGCATGCTCTACGTGTGAATAATTTCTAAAACGAGGTAAGTTATTGACAAACAAGTTGATGGAACAAGAATATCAACAGTCTCGTTAAAAGTCGTCGATTCGTACTTGTCAGCAAATGCAATCTATCATTAAGTCAACTGCTGACTGGTGTTTTTCGTACTAATTGTTAGGCCATTATTTACACACTGAATTGTCTACGGATTTTTCAGTTATTTACCGATCATGACAAGGAGCACACGGCGGGTGTGACCGGTCGGCAGGGGATGTTCACTTCTTTATGGAACTTAATCCCTTAAATGGACTTTTGATTGATTGATTATTATTGTTTAACGCCGAGTCGGCAATATTTCAGCCATATTTCGGCGATAATGGACTTTTGAGCTTAAATACTGTTCGTTATCTCCAAATATTTCATTTAAAAATGTTAAATTGTAATATCCATTTTTTAAAAAAAAAAAAAAAAAAAGCATTAATGTATAAATGTAAAAATAATGATAGATTGTAAAATCCATAATTTGTTACATCACCAGTTATCAGAAACCAAATCATATCGTTATATCTTTAAGTTGTTATCTTTATTTCTTACACACCATTTATATATCTAAAAAAAAACCCTCATATTTTAATATTTATAATTTGTTTTTGTTAGGCATTACGAGGGTAGTTTAAAAAGTAATGCAAAAGGTCATCGAAAGCTAAGAAAAGAAAGTAAAACAGTTTCTTTATATTCTGAATCCCTCAACGCATTCCCTGCATTACACATGTCTTAAAGTTACATAAAGAGTCAAAATCATGTGTTTCTTAAAAGATAATTGTATCGTAAAACAAAAAGATTTGTGTGAAATATGAATAAAGGGAAGTTTTGACAACTCAACTGCAATGTAAAGCAAGAAAAGAACTGCAAAATGTAAGTGCCGGAAAAGCAAAGGTTGTATCTTGTAAACTTGTAAACAACATTGAATTGGAGCAAGCAAAAGTGAGGAATAAGTTCTGATCATCTTTATTGAAGATTGTATCAAAATCCTCGGCCATCCGACATTTATATCTATGGAATTGACACCATGGTAAATTCTTCAACTTTTCTGCGCATGCGTACAATAAAGAGGAAGAAGTGAAGCAGTATTTTTGTGTTGGGGCAAACAAAAATTATGTTTACTTTTATTTTTCTCCATAAAAGTAGATTTTTTAGGTTCTGAAACCTGTAATTTTCTGAAACCTAATATCTTCAAGAATTGAACAAAATTTGCATGTGTCATTTAAAAAATTCTACTTTGTCAATTTCCCCCCTTTTCCGTCACGGTGTCTCTTTAAGTATTTGTACCTATGAACAGAACAACTCAGTATATTCTTTCTTAGGGATATTCAAAAGACTAATGGATAGCACTCCCCATACCTGGTCCTTTCTTTAGGTGTAGGTACATGTATTACGGCACCTCTCTAGTCCAAAGAAAACCTAGCTGTTTGGAGTTCTGGCTTTTCCGTGCAATGATAGGACGACAACTTCCTCTCTGATTCCACATTTTGTTATTGATCTTCCTTTTGGGCTATCAAAAGTGCATCTATGTTCTATATCAACTAATTTTATCATACTTTCTTTTCATTTTGATTTTATAAAGACCATCGGCACATTAACGCGTGTTTTCTATTAGGCATCTGTAAGGAAATAAGATACCCATCCCTGTTATGGTGATGAAATGTTAAGTGTCTCTGCAATGTTTTTCATTGTAATTCACTGTAATTCATTGTAAGTCCTCACTTGATTATGTCACCGTAATAAGTTGCAGCTGGTCGGAGTTCAACGAGCAATGTCACTTTTCGACTTGACTGACTTTGGACACATGTGGGCAACAAATCAGCATTGAATGATTACGTGTCTCTCCTCTCTTTGAATCTTTTTTTTGGCATTTAAAACGGGTACTCTGGGCGCATTTTATTCGTCTGTGGCCTGTTTAAGCATTTTCTAGGTATTTGCCAGATTTTTCAGGGCAAAACTTTATAGAATGTGGGAAAATGATATCTCTCCCCCTTCTGGTATTATTAGCTCACCTGAGCTGAAAGCTCAAGTGAGCTTTTCTGATCACATTTTGTCCGGCGTCCGTCTGTCTGTCTGTAAACTTTTCACATTTTCAACTTATTCTCAAGAACCACTGGGCCAATTTCAACCAACCTTGGCACAAAGTATCCTTGGGTAAAGGGGATACAAGTTTGTTCAAATGAAGGGCCACGCCCTCTTTCAAGGGGAGATAATTAGGAATTAGTGAAAAAATAATGGCATCATTTAAAAATCTTCTTCTCAAGAACCACAGGGTCAGGAAAGATGAAACTCATATGGAAGCATCCTCAGGTAGTGTACATTCAAGTTTGTTCAAATCATGACCCCCGGGGGTAGGGCGGGGCCACAATGGAGGATCAAAGTTCTACATAGAAATATATAGGAAAAATCATTAAAAATCTTCTTCTCAAGAAGAGCAAAGTCATGATGAGTCATATTTATATGGAAGCATCCTCAGGTAGTGTAGATTCAAGTTTGTTCAAACCATGACCCGTGGGGGTAGGGCGGGGCCACAATGGAGGATCAAAGTTTTACATAGAAATATATAGGAAAAATCTCTAAAAATCTTCTTCTCAAGAAGAGCAAAGCCATGATGAGTCATGTTTATATGGAAGCATCCTCAGGTAGTGTACATTCAAGTTTGTTCAAATCAAGACCCCTGGGGGTAGGGTGGGGCCACAATGGAGGATCCAAGTTTTACATAGAAATATATAGGAAAAATCTTTAAAAATCTTCTTTTCAAGAACAGCAAAGCCCTGATTGATCATATTTATTTGGAAGCATCCTCAGGTAGTGTAGATTCAAGTTTGTTCAAACCATGACCCGTGGGGGTAGGGCGGGGCCACAATGGAGGATCAAAGTTTTACATAGAAATATATAGGAAAAATCTCTAAAAATCTTCTTCTCAAGAAGAGCAAAGCCATGATGAGTCATATTTATATGGAAGCATCCTCAGGTAGTGTAGATTCAAGTTAGTTCAAATCATGACCCCTGGGGGTAGGGCGGGGCCGCAATGGATTATTAAAGTTTTACATAGAAATATATAGGAAAAATCTTCTTCTCAGGAACAACAAAGCCCAGATTGGTCATATTTATACGGAAGCATCCTCAGGTAGTGTAGATTCAAATTTTATTCAAATCATGACCCCCGGGGGGTAGGGCTGGGCCACAATGGAGGATCAAAGTTTTACATAGAAATGTATAGGAAAAATTTAAAAAATCTTCTTCCCAGGAACAGCAAAGCCCTAATTGATCATATTTATTTGGAAGTATCCTCAGGTAGTGTAGATTCTATTTTGTTCAAATCATGACCCTCGTGGGTAGGGTGGGTCCACAATGGAGGATCAAAGTCTTAAATAGAAATATATAGGAAAATATCTTCTTCTGAAGAACTGCAAACCATGATTAGTCATTTTGATATGGAAGCATCCTCAGGTAGTGTAGATTCTATTTTGTTCAAATGATGACCCCCAGGGGTAGGGTGGGGCCCAATGGGGGATCGAAAGTTTTTACATAAGAACATATAAAGAAAATATTTCTTCTCAAGAACAGAAAAGCTATGTTTAGTCATATTGATATGGAAGCATCCTCAGGTAGTGTAGATTCAAGTTTGTTCAAATGATGACCCCTGGGATAGGGAGGAGCCACAATGGGGGATCAAATTTTTACAAAGGAATACATGGGAATTTTTTTTTAAAATCTTCTTAAGTACAACAAAGCCATTTGTTATATTGACATGGAAGCATCATCAGGTTGTTAAGAATTCAAGCCCCCCCCCCCCCACCCCCGGTAATCTTTTCAATACTGAACTGATTTGTGCTTTTGCCTAGTCAATGTGCTCAGGTGAGCGATGTGGCCCATGGGCCTCTTGTTTTTAATCCTTTAATTAGTTTGGGCAATCTATATAAAATTTAATATAAGATTACATAGAACTCACAGAATGTAAAAATTGCAAATTTTACGAAACAATTGTGTCACACCACTCGAGAGTTTCTGAAAGATATTGGAATGGGCGACCAGAGAACTACAGTGCCACCTATTGAAAAAAATGTAAATCTATATTGCGCACAAAAAAGTGCACAGTTTCTCGATTTTATTTTCTGCGTATATTTAAGGCTGCCATCTCAAAATATTACTAATTTCAGGACCACTAAAAAGATATGAAAACCATTAGCTTTAGTAACATCTCTTCCCCACGTAAGGGGGCAATGCGTTCAACTCTATTTCTTTAATCTCACAGGGTGTTCCATATATTTTCTCCGCACCAAACTTTTTTGCGCATTTATGTGATTTTTTGTATAAATTCTTTTCAGCCAAATATATACGATACTACTGTGCCTTAAGTGAATCTAGTCTAGACTGCTGGTCTTCCATAGAACGTGTAGAGAATTAGGTGTCGCAATAAAGGGCCCATCGCTTAAAAACGCGCTTGAGTGAAACGTGTTTTGTTCAGGGAAAAACACAAGTATCAACGGAAGTAAGGTATATATATTATATTGCCTTATGGCAAAGAACTTATCGATTACTCTTTTTTATACTTTTGAAATTAAAATATGAAAAGGACGCATGGAACCACGGTTTAAGATTATGATTACATGGAGATTTAAAATAATTAAATATACGGAAGCTCAATGGAGTAATCAAAACATAAACTTTAACACGGGTCATGTACACGAATAATTTTACACTTAATCTGTTTATTGGCTTTACTACATAGAATTGCTTAAAAATTTCAAACATATTGATTAATGTCATACAGATGTATATGTACAGAGTTGTAATTAATAAAAATGCAAACTTGTGAGATATTGTAGATATGGTATAATTATTTGTGTATTGATTAAAACTTACTTTGTTAGAGAAAGGAAATTATCATCATTATTATCATTTTTTGTGCTTATCGTGAAATGATGAAATAAGATGCGCAAATATAGCAAACAAAAACCAATATCCCGGCCGACTGCCAACGAATTGTATGTACAGTCGCAGTGCTATTCTAATCTTGTTTTAATTTAATTTTTTTTTTATTTTTGAGTGAACCCCCCCCCCCCCCGAATTTTTATATAGGGTAAATTAAAATATATTGTAGAGTACGTCTGTGGTTATAATTCAAACGAAATTACATGTATATACAGTCATGTAGTTCAACTAATATATTTGTTGTTTTTTTAGATGTTTGTACAGATCGCTCTGATCCTGTTTGTATTGTTTATATTTTACATTGGATTTGAATGGAGAGGTAAAAAACTTATCTACATTGAAGGGCAAGGAGTATTCATCACAGGCTGTGATACAGGTATACCTCCCCAGCAGTAAAAACTGGTATTAAACGACAGACGTGCGTATTTTAGATTTCTGTTATATGTCTATTCCATGAACTTGTGTTGGATATAAAATTGTACATGTATCAAGGGGTCGTGAAAACACTCTGTACAATTTCGTAATATGAAAAATAAAATGCATTGCATAATATGTTGACGGTGCGACCGTTTGGGCGGGCGCAGATAGCTATTCAGATTTAGTACGTCTAGACTGACGTCACATGACATTGCATGTAAGTTGCATTACCAAAACCGAAGCCTGAACAGTGCTAATTTTAAATGAAGAACGTTTAATCTGCTATTTATCTGCAATATTCTTAAAATCAAGGTGAGTTTATTTCTTGTTGAATTTTTGTTGTTTCTGCGAGAACGTAGTTTGCGGCGAGATGCAATAAGTCACCGCGAGCTCTTAAAGCAACACCTGGGCGAAGAGAAAATTCGGACTTTGCACATTGATCTAAATGAATTTTTTCCCGCAGTAACCTGTGGTCCCATAATGCTTTGCGAATTGCATCTCGCCGCAAGCTACGTTCTCGCGGTTCCAAGAAGTTTCAAAAAGAAAAAAAAATATAAACTCACCTTGATTTAATGGATATATTGATAGCAGATAAATAGTAAATAATTAAACGTCCTTAATTAAAATTAGCACTGTTCAGACTTTGTTTTGGTAATACAACTTACATACAACGTCATGTGACGTCAGAGTCTAGACGTGCCAAATGTCACGTGCGGTTTGAAGAGCTCCCAATCTAAAGCAGCACTCGGCACACCTCGGCCGATTCGTACCTCATCTAAGGTGACGGAATCAGCCGAGGTTTGCCGAATGCTAAAGCAGAACTGAAAAGGTATCTTTTCAGTATCTGCGCTCGCCCTAACGGTCGCACCGTCACCATATTAGCGAGCGGAAGCGCCGCTCGTCACTGCGAGCTCTAATGACAACGCCTGTGCGAAGAGAAAATTCGGACTACTGCACATTCATTCAATAGAATTTTATGACGCAGTAACTCTGGACCCACAATGCAACGCTTGTTGTTCTCGCTGCTAACTTCGTTCGCGCGGTAATAACTAAAAATTCACAAAAAATAAACTCACCTTAATTTAATGGATATTGCATACAGATAGTAGATTAAACGTTCTTTGTTAAAATTTTGCACTTTTTCAAACTTTTATGTAAATGCAGCTAACATACAACGTCATGTGACGTCACAGTCTAGACCCAAATGTCTCGTGCTGTTTGAAAAGGCGAATCTTAAAATTAAGTGACCAATGCGCTCGCCCCAACAGTCGCACCGTCAATATATTACAATGTCATGTACATGTCAATTTTGAATTTACCCGATGGCAGTAAATACAAAATTTACAACATTAAACCGATACATATAAAGTTTTAAATGCAAGCCTTTTTTTTTTTGCTCTACTGGTCAGACACCAGAAGAAGATCTTATGCGATAGTAAGGTGTCCATCGTTCGTCCGTCTGTCTGTAAACTATTTTTATGCCCCCGGATCGAAAGATCCCGGGGATATATTGTTTTTGTCCTGTCTGTCTGTTTGTCTGTTTGTCTGTCTGTCTGTTGTCAACTTTAACCTTGCCCATAACTTTTGATTGGTTGGAGCTATGACTTTCATATTTCACATGTGTATTCCTTGTGACAAGATCTTTCTTGGGTACCATCATATTTGACCTTTTGACCTTGGAGTTTGACCCACTTTTGCAAAATTTTATGAGACTTTAACCTTGGCCATAACTTCTGAACAGTTGGTGCTTAGGGTTTCCTTCACATGTGTATTCTTTGTGACAAGGCCTTCCTTTGGATACCAACAACTTTGACCTTTTGACCTTGGAGTTTGACCTACTTTTGAAAAACTTTAACCTTGGCCATAACTTTTGAACAGTTGGTGCTTGGGGTTTCAAGCTTCACATGTGTATTCCTTGTGACAAGACCTTCCTCTGGATATCAACCTCTTTGACCCTTCGACCTTGACCTAGGAGTTTGACCTACTTTTGAAAAACTTTAACCTTGGCCATAACTTTTGAATGGTTGGTGCTAGGGCTTTCATACTTCACATATGTAATCCTTGTGACAAGACCTTCCTTTAGATACCAACAACTTTGACCTTGACCTTGATGTTTTACTTACTTTTAGAAAACTTTAACCTTTGCCATAACTTTTGAACAGTTGCAGCTAGGGCTTTCAAATTTCACAGGTATATTCCTCGAGACAAGACCTGTCTTTAGGTACCAACATTTCTTATCTTTTGGCCTGGATTTTGACTTGTATTTGAGAAACTTTAACCTTCGCCATAAGCTGCCATACGGGGGCATCAGTGTTTCACAAACACATCTTGTTCATAATGTTACTCAAACAGATTTGGTTTGATTTTCAAGTTATATTGAAATCAGACCAAAACCGTACTTGGTACATAAGTAAAGGACAATGACATACATAATTCTCTTGATCGATTCTGAATTCGATAAACAGTGCTGTCTTGGTTACTAAAAATAGAATTTTCTCTGATATACTTCCAAATTGCTACTCCTCCTACGGTTTTGGTCTGATTTCAATATAACTTGGCACACAAGTAGACTACACTAAGATACATAATTCTTTTTATTGTTTTTTGATTTCAATAAACAGTGTTGCCATGGTTACTAAAAATAGAGATTTCTGTGAAATACATTCAAAACCCTACTCCTCCTACAGATTTTGCGTCATTGACCGAAACCTTAAAATTAAAAAAGAAACATAATTGTTCGAATTATTGTTGACATTAAATTAAACTACAATTTCAGGATTTGGACACGAGGTTGTGAAACGACTTGATAAGTTAGGGTTTACTGTGTTTGCTGGTTGTCTTAATCCCGATGGTGAGGGAGCCACGGCACTGAAAACTAGCTGCTCAGAAAACGTCCATATTGTTAAGATAGATGTCACAAAACCAGACGACATCCGCCGGGCACGTGCTTATGTGGAAAAAGTACATGAAGAGACCGGATGTGGTGAGTTCTTTTTTCTTTTGATATCTCAGCAATCCTGGCAAGCTCGACTGAAATATCCATGGATTTTTTTGGAGCAGATTTTTTTCAAATACTTCTATGCCCTATGTCAATCCGAGGTGCATGGAGGATGCCTCTAGTGTGTTTCATTGTACCAGTCAAGGTTTCAGATGCTACAATTTCAGCTAAAGAATGTTTTTGGAGCAGGTTAGAGTTTTTAGAGCAGGTTAAAGTTTTTGGAGCAAGTTTTTGTTTCCAAGTAACTATAAGTCTTATGTTGACCAAACTTGTATGGATGATACATCCACAGGGGCTTGCTCCCGGCGTGTAATAATTATTTATTTAAAAAAAATCATATACGGTAATACTAAAACAGTTTTAGTATTACTGTATATGATTTTTTAATACATAATTATTACACGCCGGGAGCAAGCCCCTGTGATACATCTAAAGATGCACACTACCAGGCTTGATTCGGATGCTGGATCTTACCTACATTTTACGGATGAGTGACCAGGTTTAAGTTTTTTGGATCAGATCTCATTTCCGAGTAACTATAAGCCCTATATTGACCAAACTTGTATGGATGATACATCTAAGGATGCAACCTACTGGACTTGCTTCGGATGCTTGATCTGATCTACATTTTCCGGATGAGTGACCAGGTTAAAGGTTTTGGAGCAGGTCTCATTTCCGAGGAACTATAAGCCCTATATTGACCAAACTTGCATGGACGATACATCTAAGGATGCACACTACTGGACTTGCTTCGGATGCTGGATCTGACCTTCATTTTCCGGATTAGTGACCAGGTTTTTTTTTTTATTAAATTTATATTATTATATATTAGTGACCAGGTTAAAGATTGGAGCAGGTCCATTGCAAGAAACTATAAAACCTATCTGAACCAAACTTGCCTGGATGATGCATCAAGGGAAGAACACTTTCAAACTTGCTTCGGATGCTGGATTCGACCTACATTTTCTGGATGAGTGACTACTTAAAAGTTTTTAGATAAGTCTATTCCCAAGTAACTGCAAGCCCTATCTGACCAAAATTGCATAAATGTTGCATCTAGGGATGCACACTACTAGATTATTAGTTAAGTGTGGGACTTTGGCTTACTTAAAGACAGCATTCGTTGAGGTGAGCTCTATAATCTCTGATTACTTATGTTTAATATTTATGGACCAGAATGCCGATTATCCACATTATTTATCCCATACCATTTTTACGTTTCTCAATGCATTGCAGTACGCCACCATTTCACCTTGATATTGATAAATGAAACTGTGATTGTTAGCATATCTCATTGAAAAGCAATTTTGCAATATATCTCATTGTAATAAAAAAATTAAAGATTGTTGGAAAATCTCTCTTTATACTAAGGAAGGATATTCAAAATATCATTGTAGTGGCTAGACTATATTAAGCTTTAAGATTGTCAAAATGTCTCGCTGAATTGATGATTAATGCTATAACAACATTTATATATAGTGACAGTGAGATTTAGGATAGTAGCAATATTCTTACATGTAACAGAGACACTGTAGATTTCTTGTCTAATTGTCAGTACAACCGGTGAATTATACTTGGGCCTTAAGATGAAGATTTACTTTTGCAATTTGTTTCATTTTTCATGAGGTTTGAATTTTGATTTAAATATTAATAGGAAGAATTCAATTATATATAACCTTACAATATGAAGTTGGTGAGATTTTAGAACAATGTGAAAATTTGAGACTGTCACAATGTATCAATGTGTTTATCAGTATTAAAGACTCTAGGATTATCTCAGTATATCTTACTGTGTTTAGAACACTAAAATCGTCACAATATATCATTGTCTGTTAGTGTAATTTCTGTATTTTAGGACTATGGGGGATTGTAAACAATGCTGGAATAGATCTGTATGGCGATGTGGAGTTGCTGACCATGGATTTATACAGACGAGTAATGGACGTAAACCTCTTTGGAATGATTAACGTCACCAAGATATTCTTACCTTTGATAAGAAAATCTAAAGGTCATTAGTTTCTTTAGAAGCAACGAAATTGGCTTTAAGCATTCTTAATATTGACAATATCTGGTCCCATTAATCAACAGCGATTCATCAAAACTAAGACATTATTATTATTATAAACATACTGAATCTAGCGTAATGTTGTTCAGTATTATTTACTGTGGAGTATGTTATCGTATAGCTGCATGATTATTTTCATTTTCTGATTACAATAGGATATGAACTGAATTTAAAAACTTGACTAGAATCTCCTACACATTATCAATTATTATACTGATGAATGGAAAAGTCAAATTTCTACCATTTTTCTTTTATCTATCTATTTGTTTTCGAAACTTAAAATGTGTTCAGACGTTGTGAACATCCTCTTAATTACTGGGTAACCAACTTGTTAGTTAAAAACTAAAATATTAATCAATAAAAGGGGGTAAATGTAATCTTACATCCAGAAGAAATTCATGTATAGGAGCAACACTGAGTAATACAGTTCTCTGCTGGCTCCTTTGAGACTTAGTTTATTAATGTTTCCAGGTAGAGTCGTAAATGTGACAAGCGTAAAAGGAAGGATTTACTTCCCTTGTATATCGGCTTACGGAGTTACCAAACATGGTATTGAGACGTTTTCGGATTGTCTTCGTGTTGAGATGGCTAGGTTTGGAGTAAAGGTGTCTCTTATTGAACCTGGGAATTTTAGCACGTGCACTGCCATAGTGAAGGGAGATAATGTAAGAAAACACAAGATATTATTTCAATTCATGTGATCCCTCCTCCACATTGTGAGACTTAGTGTTTGATAATGTGATCGAATTCCTTCTTTTGTAGTACAAACGTCTACTGAGGGACCGAGATGCAATGTGGGAAGCAGCTGATCCGGAAGTGAAAGAAACATACGGTAAAGATTATTTCTTTGCACAATATGAGAGACTTGCCCATTTAACGTCTTCATATCCAGACTGTGACCCAGTATCGGACGCAATAGCAGATGCTTTAGCAAATGAGAATCCGGCTGCCAGATATCTAGTAGCTGGGGGATCTGGTCTCTACGATGAATGTGTAAGTAAATCTTGAGAAATCCCCAAAAATGGTCATTGACAAAGAACCGAGCACCAGTGTCCATGCATTGTAACTGCTCACGTGTTTTATTTATATACTATTGCGAGTTCATGTAAATCATGTATCATATTACATGCACATATTTTGATGCAGGTAAATTTCTTTTTGTTTTCAACATAGATGCTGGCGAGAATAATCAATTTCGTTCCGACATGTGTTATGGACTACCTATGTACGAGATGGGCTCTAAAAGGTTTACCAAAGATCAAAACGCTACAATTAAAAGGAAGCTAAGATGATAATTAAATTTAAATGGATTGCTTCGAATGGTGTACTTGCATAATATAGAAAATGGGAATTGAAATAGTAATAAAATCAGGGGTGTGCAATTACCATCGCCCGACGCCCGGGGCTACCAATTTTAGAGGTCGGGCTATCATAAATCTATACTGCATTAGCCCGTCGGGCTAGTAAATCTAAAACGAAAGTATACACATATTTACATCGACTGAATTGATGTACGAATTAACTTTGTTGTAAAATCATAATCTTTAATTCGTTTTAACCTATATATATATATTGTGTTGCTATCGCCAGTCGTTTCAGTGACAGTTATAGTCGAAGTACCTGACAATAACAAAGCGCAAACCATTATTTGTTTTATTTATTTCAACTTAAATGGTTTTTTTTTTTACCTTTTTGTTATTCTTATACATGTATTGTTTTCGATACTTAATGGGCTAGTGACTGACAACCTCGGGCTAGTAACTTTGTTACTGCCACTAGCCCGACGGGCTATTAACTAATTTTTGTAATTGCACACCCCTGAAAATCATAAATACTATTGTCAGATCTACTGCAAATTTGCTATGCTTTGTTTGCTGTAGCTCTACTGGTGAAGATGAACGAGGTTGTCAAGGTTACTAAAATATATACTTTTTGTGATTTTTTTTAAAAATTGCTATCCCTGCTGTTTTGCTAATTTGTATACAGGTAAATCTAGATTTCACCAAGATATTATACATGATTCTGTTTATCAGTTAGTAATTTCAATGAACGACGTTGTCATGGTTTCTTTAAATAGAAATTTCTGTGTCTTTCAAAGTGATACTCGTGTTGCAGTTTATATCTAATTTTAATAGAATTTTGAATACAAGTAAACTACATTGGGATATCATACCCATTTCTTTATGTTAGTTTTTGATTTCAATAAAGTGTTTTATGGTACTAACTAGAGTGTTTCAAGAAAAGCATGTGTTGCCTGCTTTGTAGCTTCATTAAAGAGGTAAAGAAATCTAAGAGTGGTCAGCTTTTAATTTACTATCATATATCTTAGCATGATAGTTCATGCATTTGCCTGCAAAGAAGAAATGGCATCCATGGATAGTATAAGACTGCGATAGAATCTGATAATCAAAGGAAATATGGTTCCCTAACCCTCAAATGAATAATTAATTTGAAATTATTAGAAATAACTATCTATCATTTTATTATTTCCAGACGATTCTCCAAAAAAGCTTACTGCAATTGTCAGTCTAAACGATACGCAGGCGGATAAAACGTACGCTCAAACGATACATTGTGGAATATTGATCGCGATGTATTTTCATAGTCCAGGCCCGTAGGAAGCAATTTCAGTTTGGGGGGGGGGGGGGCACAGCCAAACATTTTTTAGTTGACAGTTGAAGGGGCACTACCAAAAATTTCCTGACAAGCAAAAGAAAAAAAAAGGTCGTCAACTACCAAAATTTTTCTGACAAGCGAAAAAAAAAAAGAAGGTCATCAGACGTTTTCATTGATGGGGAACAAGCATATAATATCTATGTTTACTATAGTAATCTATATATCGGCAAAATTATTGTGCCCCCCCCCCCGGTTCCTACGGCCATGATAGTATTTAAATATAAGTTTGTGTGCATACAGTTTCAAAAGTCGCAAGTTAAATTAAACTGCCCGGGGTATTTTTTGCAAAGAAGGTCCAAGGTTAAGTGTAATGCTGATCAGTATTTTTCGCAATGTTTTATGGCAAAAAGTGCACATCATGCTAAACTTGCCTGTTAAAAATGTCAAAAGTATGCTGTATATCGGCACTATGAACAATTTTAAAGAGTACATGTAAGTCAAGGGTCACGAGGTCGGTAATCATGGTAATTTACAAAAGCCATAGTGCCAATTAAGCAATATATGTCCAAAATATCAAATCCATACCTCCTACAGTTCTAGAGATATAGGATGTGACAGACAGACAGACAGACAAACGCCGGGTAAAGTGATCCGCAATTGCCGCTCTGCTCTGCAGGTGACACAAAAATACACTTTGACATGGTGTTCCATCAAGTTTTCGTCCGAAATCAACAGATCTTGGTATACAAAAAACATTAGACCAAGATACGTATTCATAAAAATCAGAAAATTTTGTAATTTTTTTTTCAAATGCTTAACTCCTCCTACACTTCTGGTTTGATGTCGATGTGTTGTAAAAATTTATGAAACATTGATTCCCCCTCTGTATGGCCAAGGTTAAAGTCTTTCAAAAATAGGTCAAACTCCAAGGTCATGAGGTCAAAAATGTTGGTATCCAAAGAGGTCTTATCACAAAGAATACGCATGTGAAATATGATAACCTTTGTACCAGCTGCTCAGAATATATGGCTGAGGTAAAAGCCTTTCAAAAGTAAGTCAAACTCCATAATCAAGGTCATGAGGTCAAATGTTGGTACGCAATGATTAGATTTGTCACAAGAAAAACACGTGAAATGTGAAAGCCCTTGCACCAACTGTTCAAAAGTTGTGACCAAGGTGCAAAATTTTAGACCACATGAGTCACCCAGGTGACCTGCATATGTATTCTCACTGTTCATCGTGTGTTAAGATTTGAACATTAATGTTCAGCTTTTTCTCTGGAACCACTGAACCCATTTCAACCAATTTTGGCATATAGCATTTATGGACAAAGGGGAACAAATACTATGAACTTCATGGTATCTGTCCCCCGGAGCCTAAAAATCTAAAGAAAATGCATTAATTCTTTGCAAATCTTCTTCTCTGATCCTGGGTATTTGGCAGATAAACTGACTTCCTAGTTATGATGAAGGGTGCCTCTTACAAATTAGTGAAATATCCTGGCCCCTGAGTCAAGGGTTCTGGTGTAAGGACAGGGATCTATTGATTATAAAGTGAAATTGCATTAATTCTTAGAAAACCTTCTTCTCTGTTCCTTGATATTTAGCAGATAAACTAAATACACTGTTATGATTAGCAAGAGTGCCTCTTCGAAAATTGTGAAATTCATGATTACATAGTGAAAATTCATAAATTCTTGAAAAAATCTTCTCTTCTCCTGGGTATTTTGCTGACAAACTTAGTGCATGGTTATGATGGGCAAAGGTGCTTCTTCCAAAATTGTGAAATTCATATCCCTTGGGTCAGGGGTTTTGAGGTTAGGGCAGGTTTCTATTGATTGTATAGTGAAAATGCATTATTTCTTTGAAAATCTTCTTCTCTACTCCTGGGTATAAAGCAAACAAAGTGCATGTTTATGATAAGCAAGGATGCCTCTTCCAAAATTGTGAAATTCATTTAAAATAAACTAACTGTATACTTATGTTGAGCAAGATTGCCTCTTTCAAAATAATGAAATTCCTAGTCCTTGGGTCAGGGGTTCCGATGTTAGGACAGGGCTCCATTGATTATACAGAAAAATGCATTAAAATTCTTTTTTCTCTGCTTCTTGGTATCTAGGAGGCAGAGTACAAAGTTGCAATAAAGCAAGTTGCAATAAAGCAATTTTTACTTCACTATGATAATTAATCACTAAATAATGTAACTTTAATATACGTAAATTGAATAAGATTTATACAAGAACTCTTTATACAATGTATGTAGCTAATTCTGTAGTTTTAAATGGTCAGATTGACTTGTATACAATAGATAAATGCAAGAGGCCCATGGGCCACAATGCTCACCTGAGTCAAATATGGCCCTGTTCCTTATTGGCATTTTCCTATATAGTCCTATATAAAACTTTGATCCCCCACCCTACCCTTAGGGGGTCATGATTTGAAGAAACTTGAATCTACACTGCCTGAGGATGCTTCAATATCAATTTGACTAATCTTGGTTTGTTGTTCTTGAAAGGAAGATTTTTCAAGATTTTTTCCTAGTATATATTCCTATGCAAAACTTTGACCCCCCACTGCCCCCCCCCCCCCCCCCCGGTCATGATTTGAACAAACTTGAATCTACACTACCTGAAGATGCTTCCATATTAATATGATTAATCATGTTGTTCTTGAAAGGAAGGATTTTTAAAGATTGTTTCCTATATATTGCCATGTTAAACTTAGATCCCCCATTATGGCCCCATCCTACCCCTGGTCATGATTTGAATTACCTTGAATCTACACTATATAATGAAGGTTTCATGTTTGTTTCAACTTTTTTGGCCAAATGGTTCTTGGGAAGATTTTTAAAAGATGCCATCAAATTTTCTTTAAATCATAATTACCTCCCCTTGAAAGAAGGCATGGCCCTTCATTTGAACAAACTTGAATCCCCTTCACCCAAGGATCCTCTGAGGCAAGTTTGGTTGAAATTGGCCAAGTGGTTCTGGAGAAGAAGTCAAAACTGTGAAAATTTACAGACAGAGGGACAGACAGACGACGACAGACAAAAGGTGAACAGAAAATCTCACTTAAGCTTTCAGCTCAGGTGAGCTAAAATATGACACAAAAATAATTTATCTGCGCACATTGAATATTCTTCAAAGACCAAGAGAGGCCAATTTGAGAGGGAATATGATGGATCTACTGCATGGTGATAGTGAGAAATGGGGAGTGTATTAGTACTGGCAAGTACAGGCAAGTAAAAAGATTACAAGGTACTAGACAAACAATTGTGTTGATCCCTGATCTTCCTATTTCTATTGCTTTTGGGCAACACATCTTCATCTCTCAGTTAATTTTGTTTTATTTAAACTATACTCAAGGCCCTTGGGCCTCTTGTTCAAAAGTAGGTCAAACTCCAAGGTAATGAGGTCAAAAATGTTGGCACCAAAACAAAGGTCTTGTCACAAGGAATATATATAAAATACATATATGAAAGCCCTAATACCAACCATTCAAAAGTTATGGCTGAGGTTGAGCTTTTCAAAAGTATGTCATGAGGTCAAATACATGTATGTTACCAGTACCCAAAGAAAGGTCTTCACATAAGTAATACACATTTAAATATGATAGCCCTTGCACTTGGCGTTCAAAAGCCATGGCCAAAGTTAAAGTTTTTGCATACAAACAAACAGACAGCCCCCTAATCTCCCCCTTCTAACAGGACTATGAAAAAAAAAACAGTACAAGGTTAGTGAAAATCAGTACACATAGTTCTGTAAACATAAAAAAGGTGTTTCAAGTCCAGGTGCAACTTTGCTTTTCCACTATCTTACAAACAAACCATTAAAGCTACAGTCTAATTAGAGACTTCTGATTTAGTATACATGTAGTTTTGAATTTCAAATGTGCATTGTAGATTTATGCTTATGTGTTATTGAGGGTGCACTTTAGCACTTTAATTACAGGCCACAGGGAATTCAACATACCCCCCCCCCCTTTCATCACTTCTGCAAAAGGGGACATCTGATGATTTTCAGAGTGTACTGGAATTAGCATGTCAATGACCATAAAAAAAGTGAAATACATAGAAATAAAAAATTCTGTGATAATCTCCCAGGTTAGTTCTTCATTCCCAATCAGAATATAAACATTGATTTTACATTTCTTTATTAATTTTACATTTATTATCAGAGATGAGCATCAGACCAGTAGTTTAATATTTATGACATGATCCAATGCAGTATTTTAATAGTGATCTGACAAGAGTATAACAAATGCATTCACTATGATATGTACAAAGGCATGTAGATTCATTGCTACATTATACAATGTGTGAATGAAATTTACAGGTCACGAAACACTGAAATCTAGTACAACCACACAAACCTTACAACCATCTACATGCACATGTAATTACAATACAGTGTAAAACCATTTAAATGCATCACTGATACAGCAATTTGGTTCTGTGTATCAATTATATAAATAAGCAAAAGTTTTCTTGCAAAAATAAATAAAGGATTTGTGAGTTTCAGATCTCTATACATGTGGTCCCTTGACCATCAGACTTTAAACAGGCCACCAGCTGTGTTCTGTGTTGAATTATTTGGGAACTAGATTCAATCTTGGTGATGATAACTACCCCATATATATGTGAGTTACATTAAATGCTTTCTTTCTAAGAAACATTGATCATCTATTTAGTAACCTATAATGTAATGTCAAATCTCCACTTTGTTTCCAAATGAAATGTTTTACTGTTCTTAGATCCATATTAGCATCAAGTGTCTGAAAGAAAATAAAAATAAATTGATGAACCTGTAATTCATCATTTTTTTTATATCTTCAGAGTGAGCAATTTACATATCATTAACTCTGTATTTAAATGAATTGGAAGATAAGGTTTTGGAATAAAATTTATATGGCATAAAAACAACTGTATCAAATGAATGGATTTTATTTACACTAATTTAGTTTTATAGTTAATCATGGAAGAAACAAGGGACATTATGCTTCTGAAATTTAAAGATTACTAACCTGATCATTACACAGAAGTTCCACTTTTTCTGCAGCTATAGAACTGACATCATGGTGCTCTTTTTCGTGGTCACCACCCTCATTTGTTTGGTGCCCATTCTCAGTTCCCTGCCCCAGAATCCTCTCATATACGTGCTCAATTACCTTCTTCACTTGTATCATATCACTAGCTGATAAACGATCCCTAATAAAATTAACAAAATATAATACCACAAATTAAATTTTCCTTTGTTATTAATTTAAAGTATTATCAAAGATTATTCTGGTCTGCCCCCCCCCCCCCCCCCCCCCGAATTCTTACTTTTTGATCATTTTGATGCCTGTACTTGGATGTGGTTGAAGAAAAAATGCAATCTTGTTTGATTTTGGTGTGTTCCTCTGGGAAAAAAATACATGAAGTATTGTATTACACTCTTAAAATCTTATGAAGTGGCAATTTGTAAACAATCTAAAAATACTTATATCTCGAACTATGATAATCTGTGCACTTAACATACATGAACAACAACTTCCACTGCCCAAGACGGCACCAGTTCGTTGAGATAATTTTGTTCTGTTTCACCAGCTGCATCGCGACAGAGGAATCGATATAAAGCCCGCCCATCTGACTCACTTGAAAAAAAGAAAGGAATCAAAATTATACTTTAGGATATTCTGAAAGCAATCTATTTCTTGACTGAAGACACATGTAATATCTTTACTGTAAAGTTGCACTTCGGTATCTCCAACATTAATATCTTGAATACCAGGGATTTGTCAAAGTGAGTTGGAAGTTTCATAACCTCTTTCTATGTATTATATCTTACTATCTCAAATTTTTGAATTTTTTTTCTTATTTAGTTTTTCCTCGGCTTTATTAAGTTCAAGATAACCAGGTTTTACTGTATTTAAATCCTGTATGAGCACTTGTAGATCTTGGACTAATTAAAGCAATAATGTATCAGCTCTTTTAGTGACCTTATTAGTAACACATTAACTTTATAATTTGGTGGTTAATAGTTTTCATCAAATAACCTAAAGAAAACTGTGTGAAATGCACTAAAATGTAAATCCCACAAAATGAAGTTCATGTTAGTATATAAAAACCTCTTGTTTTCTGTGTCACAGAATAAATGGTAAGACGTGCAGTTGATTTTCCTGGGGGTAGAAGTTGCCTCCCTTTGACCACACAGACACATCACCGACATGATGATCATACAGTAAACATATAAATTAATACCAAAGGTATATGATCAATATATAACTGGGATGTATTCAATGATCAGGTTCATACTAGAACATCACAGATGTGTGATCCCATACATAAGTGTACCAGAATATCACAGGGTATGATCAGGTATACACCAGAATACCATAGGTGCAAGATCAGGTACATACCAGAATATTACAGGTGTATGATCAGGGACAGAAAACAGTTGTGTGTCAGCTCCTTCCATCATTCCTTCTGAAATATTCATCCATGACATTTAAATAGTAGCACAAGCTGTGATATTATCATTTAGTTGTCTAGTATTAGTTCTTAAATAGTAAATATTAGTATTTAATAAAAAAAAACAACTTTACCTTGGTTTTCATACATATGAGCCTTTGGCCAGTGTTCCAAAAGTGCTTGTAAAAGTTGTTGGCCTATGTTTACTAAGTTAACAAAAAAAAAAATAATAAAATAAAGTAATAAAAACTTGCATAAACTAATTTTCTAAACAGTCTTTGTTTATCAAACCTCTGTAATCAAGCTGGTCCTTAGAAATATGTTATAATTCAACTTAATTCAACTTACTTGGTTTCTCCAAACTTTAAATTACATTTAATCTTACATTTGTTATCAATCCCCTCTGCTGAAGGTTTTATGCCCAGCTCCTTTGCCGATACCCAGGCAGAAAAACAGTCTGATTCATCTAAATGTATGGTTAACAGCTGCAGAGGAAAAAGATGCACAGTAAAAAGTACTTATAGTATAGAATTCCACATCCTTACTCACTTGCATGTTCCATATTGATTTGTACAATAAAGTTTACTGCTTTTATCTCCAAATTGTTTGGGTATAGCAAGTCACACCTGCATATCTGCAGTGTCAACAGGTCAGGCAATTACTACATGGTTGGTAATTCAAGAGCATGAAAAATATTGATTATTAAAACCATAGTATTAAAATCCATAAGAAGAATTAACCATTACATGTACTTCAAAGTACCCTGACTGTATGATACATATAAACTATAATATTTAACGAAGGTCAAATTTTAAAATAAATTTTGATCTGAATTAATCAGAAATTAAATAACTTACCCCTGTTTTAAGATCAACAGTGAACCAGTTAGGAACATAAATCATCTTAAACCTTTTCTTTATTTCATCCTCAAAGTTAACTTTACCCAGATTTTCAACCAATCTAGCCTGAAAATTTAAGCATACCTCATAAAATTGCTCATACTGCAAAATTCATGAAAGCATTTCTTCAAAGTTATTTTAACAGTACAAATACATGTACTGAAGTTATGGATAAGGACTTACACCCAGTACATTCCATAGAGCCACATTATCATCTGTGTCCTTGGTCAGTATGTGACATTTGTCGTTTAACACATAATACTGTCTAATGCTTGGACCACCTGGGGAAAAAAATGATTTACTTTACACAACAAAAATTTTCAGTATCATCTCTCATTCCAAAAAAAATAATTCAAAATGAAACGTATTCAAATACATAGTACAAAAAAATATTGTGTTTGTCTTGTGTTGAAATTATCTTTGAAATCATGTATGTTGTGCAACAAAATGACCAATAAGTGAAGGAGTAATGTCACAGTATTCAGCTACTGATCAAAGACGAGGGAAACAATAAAACAAATAAGTGTACCTGTAAACAATTAAGTGTACCTGTAAACAAATAAGTGTATCTGTAAACAAATAAGTGTACTTGTAAACAAATAAGTGTATCTATGAAGAAGCTCACCTTTAATTGTATAATCAGCTTGTGTGTACACTGGTTTAATGTTATCATAGTCTCCAGACATTCTGTTCTGTACTTTTTGTAAAGACTTCAAATAGAGAATATCAAAATTACACAAATACAGTACCTTAATGTGTACCAAGTGTACCATTTTATTTCATTTATGTTATGTACAACAAGGAGCAACATAAGAAAGTTGCTTAAACAAACAACAGCCAAAAAGAAATTCCCATTGGAAAAAGGCAATGGTGAATTCCATTGCCCTAAGAATACACCATACAGAAATTAAAACGTGTTTACAACTTATACATAAGAATATCTCTAATAAAAAGGTGAAAAAACTTCTCCACTGTTGATTGCATTCTACGTATCCTTCAATCTTGAAAAACATAAAAGTACTAAAGATCTCTCCAATCCTCAAGTTAAAATGTCTCAATGCATTTAATGAATTTCGAGCATTTAGAAAAAAATTAAGAACAAACCCAGTTCCTGATACAGGAATCTGTTGTGGCTACCCATAACGAAGCATTCTCTGTATTTCCCTGTGTTAATTCCAACTAAAAAAAAAAGCATGTTATAGTTCAGTAAATTTCAATTAAACAATTATTTTCCAAATACATAAGGACATGTACAGTCAAACCTCTCAAACTAGATGGGACCGAGAAACAAGAGGCCCATGGGCCACATCGCTCACCTGAGTAACTTTGGCCATGCTGTTCTTTACCAGATTTCCCCTCTTGTAATACCTATTGTGGCCCCGCCCTACCCCCCGGGGTCATGATTTGAACAATTTAGAATCTACACTACCCAAGGATGTTTCCACATAAGTTTCAGCTTTTCTGGTCCAGTGGTTCTTGAGAAGAAGATTTTTAAATATTTTCCTATATATTTCAATATAAAACATGAATTACCTATTGTGGCCCCAGCCTACCCTCGGGGGTCATGATTTGAACAATTTAGAATCTACACTACCCAAGGATGCTTCCACATAAGTTTCAGCTTTTCTGGTCCAGTGGTTCTTGAGAAGAAGATTTTTAAAGATTTTTCCTATATATTTGATATTTATGTGTGACTGACTGGAAATACTGTAGTTCTCCAAAATAACACCCATTTATGTATAAAATAATCGAAAGTAATCAAAAAAGTAATCATAATTACATTGAAAATTTTAGCTGTAATCGATTAAATTACGATTACAAGTAATCAAAAATCTCTTCGATTACAGATTACTGTTGATTACTTGAAAAAAGTAATCATTACAATCGATTCCGATTACACGATTACGATTATCCCATCCCTGATTCTAAGCCAATTAGTACCCAAAATTTTTAATTAAAGTCATAAATTTTCAAAAGTAGGTCACAGTGACCTACTTTTCAGTCGACCTACTCCGAAGACCCAAGATGCATCAACTGACAAAGTTTGATGATTCTAAGCCAATTAGTACCCGAAATATTTAATTATAGTCATATAAATTGAAAAGTAGGTCACTGTGACCTACTTTTCTGTTGACGTTTTTCGAGGACCCAAAATGCATCAACTTACTAAGTTTCATGATCATAGGCCTTAAAATGTCCAAATTATGCCTCTAAAAGGCTTTGAAATCGAATGCCTGCAAAATTCAAAAAGTAGGTCACTGTGACCTACTTTTTAAAAAAATGTTTTATGGCCCCAAGATGCATCATCTTACATGATTTAATGATTCTAAACCTCTCAGTATTTGAATTAATGACCTTAATTGTTTTGAAAAAGATTAGCCATAAAATTCAAAAAGTAGGTCAAGATGACTTACTTTTTAGTCGACGTACTCCGAGGACCCAAGATACATCAACTGACAAAGTTTGATGATCACAGGCCTTAAATTGTTCAAAATATGCCTTTAAATCATTTTGAAAAAGAATGGCCGCAAAATTTAAAAAGTAGGTCACTGTGAGCTACTTTTGAGTCAACATGTTATGAGGTCCTTAGATGCATCAACTGACAAGATTTGATTAATAGAATCATTCATTACTACGAGTGTGGGATAGTGAAATTCCACCAAGGGGACAAGATTCACGGTCTAGGACGAGGCTTTGCCGAGTCCTAGACCGTGAATCTTGGCCCCGAGGTGGAATTTCACTATTCCCACACGAGTATGTAATGAATGATTATTTTTCTCGCATTATTTTATCCGAAATAACGGCTTGTCAATGACGTCGTCATGATAGGGCTAAAAATATATCCTTTTAATTTTCCATCTAATTAAAAATCTAAATACACCATCAGAGAGAGCGTACCTGAAAATGTTTTACACATAGTGTAAAATGATAAAATGAATTTCAGTCCATGTAAATTAATTAGATAGATAAAAAATGGGAATATAAAATCTTATCTATCCGATAGCGTACACATTCATTCAAGAAGAATCCTTCCGCGATCTTAAAATAGTGCCATTTAAAAAGTGAAAATACGACAATATTTTGAATGAAAATAAGTTTATCTTAATTAGTTAAATGACAACATTTTAAGGATATGTAATATTTTTTTAACATTGTTACAATTTCTTTTTATAAAGACGGAATGTTTACGTTATCGTTCGCGGCGTAGTAATACACAGTGTAAGATAGAAAAATCTCACACTGCTGTCTCACACCGGACAAGTCAATCTTACACTGGTGATTATGCGAGAAAATCCTATTCCTTATAGTAAGCAAAATATCAACATTTTAATAAAATGTAATTTTTGGTCAACTTGAAGTGACCTTGAGACCACGCCCTTTGCCCCAGGGTGATGCCTTGAACAAGTTTTCATCTTCAACATATCCTCATCCTTTTGTGTAAGTTTGGTGATAATCTGCCCAGTGGTTCTTGAGAAGAAGATTTTTTAGCAACCAGTACTTTTGTTTCTATTTTCCTAATTATCTCCCCTTGTCTAAGGGTCACAACCCTTATTTTAGTATAAACAGGAGCCCTTGGGCCAAGGATACCCTGTGACAAATTTGACAATAATTGGCCAAGTGGTTCTTGAGTTATGGCCCATATTCTAAAAAGTTTACACACACTGCACAAATGGCCATAGCATTAGCTCTTTGAGCCTTTGGCTCAGAAGAGCTAAAAATACAAGTATTGGGCACCACTCTGCATCAGCCATTTCAGATGACAGTTAATATCAGAGTAACCTTGACCATGTTTTTTATGTTACAATAAAAAATCTCTGCCACTGTTTCTTCAATATGTATAAATATTGATAGGAATACACACAGTGTGCCATCATAATACAATAATAGGGTCTTTTTCAAAATACCACAACCTGGAACTAACCTTCAGAACTGGGGCTTTTTCCTCACAAATTAGTGTTCTGTAATCTGGATTGCGTATATCTGTGGCCCAAATTCGACGGTCTCGACCACCAGAGTAGACTGTGGTGAATGCTTCATTAGCCTGCAATGCCCACACTCCCTCGTCATGAACTCGGAAGGTTGCCACACATCTTTGTTGCCCCAGTGACCAGAGACGTATTGTTCCATCAGAACTACCAGATAAACACTGGAAAAGAAGTATTTACCTAATACATGTACTAGAACATCCCTTCTTCAGCAAATTTAATATTCACAGGACCTAGACATATTAAGGTATATATGAATACACATAGAGCAAGTATACTCTCTATAAATATTTCATGTCCTTCGCTTCTGATATTTTAGGAAATTTAACCCAATAAATCACTTATCAGATTCCTTTAACTTTAAAACTGATGCAGTATAAAGGTAGTAGAAAGTTTTTTTTAAATCTAACTTGGAAAGAGACATCACCTGCTTCAAAGTAATTTCACATCTACTTATACTTCAAGTATATTGAATTATTACTACAGATATAAGTCCCCTCTACAGTTTGTACCTGTGTTCCATCCCTATTCAATACAAGAGCTTTGACATTGTCAGTGTGTCCTTTCAGTTTCATTATTTTCTGACATGTCCTGGGGTCCCAGACTCGCAAGGCTTTCTCTGTTGATCCAGACACAATGATTGTTCCTGGAGGATTCATGGCCAAACTGTAGATGGAGTGTTTGTTCTCATGAAGATTTGAGGCTAGAATGAAGAAAAGAATGCATCATACTTCTTTTTTCCCACCATTTACAGGGGTTGGTGCTTTCTTATAATTTAATCATCCCATCAAATTTTGCAAGTAATTTACCCACTTGAAACAAAAAGAACAGTATTTATCATGTAGGACAATTCAAAACTTATAGAAAACTTATGTAATGACACTAATTCAATATCAGGTTTCATCTGAAATTTTTTTCTTGATGATGTAACCGGTCTTCGCCCACAAGGACACCAACCCAGGCTCTTCCTTGGCAGGTCTTTCACCTGTCACTTTTACATCCTGGTCATGGCACCAAATGTAACTGGTGAGGAGAAAAATGTGACAGACCAGACCAGGATTTGAACCTAGGCACTCTGAATCACTAGTCAGGTACTCTACCAATTGAGGTAACTCACCACCAGTGATCACACCTGTCTGACCACCACAATGAATTTAAGGACATTGGCAAGTCAAGGTTTTCCGGAGAAAAAAGGTTTAATACATGGGTTTTTTCACTTATGAAATAGTGAATGAGAGTGATCTCCCGTGTAGAATTCTCTAAGCGGTGAAAACCAATAAAGCGTATGTTTACAGATGTAAACAAAAGCATGTGTACTTCCTTCCACGGGTAGAATCATCTATACAGCAAGAAAGAAAAGTAGTAATGGCTTTGTTGTAAATTGTATTCAGGGGACAAAGAGCCAACAAGTCGTCATTTACCATAGTTATGCAGGGAAGGGCAAAGATGTGACATATACGGAAAGGTAGACCCACTGAGATAAGTTCTCATGTTGTATGAAGGAAGCAGCATTTAGTAACTACGAAGAAAATTTGAAATAAATCCATGCCAATATTTTTATGACAATGTGTTTCAATCAATTTAGTCAATTACATGATAGCATCAATCAACCAGTCTGGCTCTCTTGACCATTATGAATAACATGTAGTTATAGCTGTTAAGGAAAGCTTGATGGAGTTCTGCAGTGAAGATTCAAAATGAGTCAACTTATATGGTCTCACTTGATTCTTTTAGTTATACTCAATATCATACTACAGACATGTACCTGACAGGAAAAAGATTTTTACTTTTCTTTCTATGTGGTGGTTAAATAAAATGTTCACTTACTGGTACATGTATATGTGACTGTGTCCTAAGCAGTAGTATGGTCTATTCCTACCTATAATGATGTTCAATGGACAAGGTAAGATTTACTCTTACTTTCACTACTGTGTTGACAATGGAAGGATTTCAACTTACGAGTACTTGAGATGTTCTTTCAGAGAGTAGTAAGTTGTTTGGAGATGGTAAGATTGACACTTACATGTGACTATGTTTTCAGAAATGATAACATTGACACTTAATACAATTGTTAGAGATCCAAAGATTTTTGCTTGATTTTAACATGTTGTTAGAGATGGTAACATTTCCACTTCTTACACAGTTGTTAGAGATGGTCAGATTTATACTTGTGACATTGTTGGGCAAGGAAGTAGAAATGGCACTTTAATACTTGTGACTTTTTTTACTGTTAGATAAATTAAGATTTACTTACTTGTCACGGTGTTGTTAGAGGTGGTAAGTGCTGTTAGGGTGTTGACATCCCACAGAAATATTGCACTGTCTAGGCCTGCTGACGCTGCCTGCTCTTTGTCTTTAGCATAGGCAAGACATTTCACATAGTCCTGTGGAAACATTATATAAAAACAATACTGTTAATCACCATGCAGTCATCCAAAAGGAAACATGAAAAAATTAATAATCTCTGTATGTACAGTAAAGCTTGGTTATAGCAAAGTCACTAAGACCTCGAACTTTGCTTCCTTATAGCGGACAATCTTTATTTTCGTGTAAGAAACATAGTGAAAAGTCTTCTATGGGATTCATAAAAGGTTCCTTATAACCGAGATTTCTTGCTTATAAGCAAGTTCTTTATAACTCAGTTTTACTGTAGATAAATGCATTGTTTGTTTGTTTATTTTTTTTTTAAATAGAATATGGTACAAGTACACTTCTCAACAAATTATACCCTTTGTTTTATTTTTAAGTTTTAACCATAAGAGTTTGACTTACATTATGTGTTCTGAGTGTTGACATACAAAATCCTCTGTGAGCATTCCATACTTTGACTGTGGTGTCACTGGATGCAGATATTACTAAAAAAAATATCATCAAATCATCACATACACATTTCAAGCTTCACTTTATCTAATGTAACAATCTTATTTAAATGATTCTTAAAGATCTATTTTATATTTGGCCATGTTTTGCAACTGAATTGAGACTAAATCCAGATTTGCTCTAAATTGTTTATTCTTATACTTACAAGTTCTTCCTCCACAACATAAGATGATATCATTGACCCAGTCATTGTGATGTTCCATTGATAGGATATAGGGATCCTAATAACAATAAACACAGCATGAAGTAGGTGATTTTGAAATAGGTATACTTATGAAGAATATAAAAAATGTCAATAGATCTAGATGCAAATATAGAACATGAACTTTTTGGGGCTACAAATTCTCTAGCATAACAGTCATTGTCACCTCTGAAAAATAGTTCCAGAATGTATAGACTTTATCTAACAAGTATATTTGTTTGTTTGTTTCTCTTCTTCTTCCTTAAGTGTTCTTCTTAAATGAGTAAACTTACACTACCACTAAAAGCCCACACGTGGCACACAGAACACTATTTACAGTAAAAAAAACACAACTGCTTACAGGAAGTTCTCACTGAATTTTAATTTAAAAAAAAACAGTATTAGTAACTTTGCACACACCTTGTTTGTCTGAGTATTCCATATCCTTATGATGGAATCTCTTCCTGCAGAATAGAGTCTTCGTAAGGCTGGATCATACTGAAGAGCATTTACACCAGATCGATTGTATTTTTCAACTTCATCTCTTATTACAAACGAGACCTGGAATTCAGAGGAAATTCGAACGCAATAACAAACAAATACCAATGCCACTATTTCTTTTAAAGCAATTCAGACACCACTTTAACAAAATTAATAATACAGAATGCTATTAAATATTACCTGCACTTTCTTCTTTCCTTGTCCCAGTGAGCTTCTAATATGAGAAGACATCGTTTTAGTTTATTTTGAGTAAAACGTCATCATTTCTGGGGTAGCGCACGAATTTGATAAGTCGTACCATAACCACTGATAACTCAATCCTTGAAAGACTTTTTTTTCACAGTATTTCACTTTCGATAATGAAATATGACAAATAGATAATTTATAGTGCAAATTCGTTTCTCAGATATCATAATAATTTAATGACGCAAGGTAACAGGTGTTAGTAAAAGACTTGAATTTAAAGAATGGAATATAAAATCACACTTCGCTTTTTCATTGAGACTCAATCAGTGGCGGATCCAGAAGTTCATGTTTTTGTGGGGCGGGGGGGTATGGGAGGGGTACCACCCTCCCAAAGGTGGGGGTTCGGGAGGCCTCCCTCGAGACATTTTTGTTCAAAATGGCTCCAACTGGTGCATTTTCCGACATTTTTGCCATTTCAAAAAAAAAAAAAAATTTTCAAGGCCGACTGCCACAATTTTTTTCAGAATTTGAAAAAAAAATAGAAAAAAAATAAAATAATGTGATTTTTTTTACTTAAACATAAAAATGATATTTTTCTTTTTAAAAAAAAATAAGTGCGAAGTCTTTTAATTTTAGGAAGATCAGGATTTGATATATCCTTATTTTAAACGGACATTCAGTGTGTCACATGTCAAGCTCCGACTACCAAAATACAACTGATGTGCAATTTTTAAAGGACTTATCGCATAATCTTACAAAAATCGTAATTTTATGAAAAATATTATCTATAACCTTATTTATTAAAATACTGAATACAATAAACGTTGTTGAAAGCATATTTTAAGAGATATTGAGAGTTGAAATTCAAATACGGTAATATGCATATTTCTGTCGGATTTCGGCGAAATACTGCTCTGACGTCATAGGCGACAATTCGGTGATAGAGAGATGAGAATATGAACACTAATAACGGAGCTATCGATGGCAAATGCAGCTAAATTACGAAAAATTACTTTAAAAATTTGGATTTTATGTAGAAACCTTTACTTACTTGACTATACTGTCAATATAATTTGGAATATAAAGAAATAATGATGTTTCATTTTGAAGTATAAACATAAATTAGTTTGGAAAAATGTTGAAAAGGGGATTTTTTCTCATGGTGGGGGGGGGGGGGTTCAAGCTACCCTGATCTCCCAACCACCCTCTATATACTGCTGACGTGTGCGTTCAAGCGGAAAGTGGTTTCCTGTTATATGTAGTTGCTAAGCCATGGGTCTGTAGAGTCTAATTTATGCAATACGACACTTGTAAAAAAAAAAAATCATTGAGCGAGGGGGGGGGGGGGTCCTGACTCCCCCCCCCCCCCAGAATCTGCCAATTAGGCTTCTGATCAGCACCTATTAATTATTCTCTCGAGTCAAAACAACCTGAGGATGTGATAGTCTCAGTGGAGTCCTTTCTATTGAACACACTGGAATCATTAAATGGCCATTATAAAAATTAAAATTCTGAGCCTAAACTTAAAACTGATAATACATGCCATTTTAGTTTCACAAAGCAAATGTTCTCATTTGTATTTTATTTATTTATTTTTTTTGGGTGGTGGTACATTGTAAAACATATCAACTACATTGCCAGTAAAAGGAAAAAATCAGGTAAAAAAAGAAAAGAAAATGTAAAACTATGATCTTTAATTGTAGCCCCCACCCTACCCCTAGTATCCATGATTTGAACAATTTACATTGGGAAACTTTCACTTAAGTGTCATCATTTCTAGTCCTGTGGTTCATGAGAATAACATTTTTGAATTTTCTCATATATTCAATGTAAAACTTTCATACTCTTTTTGTGGCCCCACCCTTACCCCCAAGGGTCATGATTTGAACAATAAGAATCAACACTTTCCCAGAAAGCTTCCACATAAGTTTCACATTTTCTGGCCCAGTGGTTCTTGAGACTATTTTTATAATGACCCCACCCATTTTTGCCTTTTCTCGATTATCTCCCCCTTGGAAGCAAGCTTGGCCTTTCATTTGATCAATTTAGAATTCCATTTATCCAAGGATGCTTTGAGCCAGCTTTGGTTAAAACTGGCCCTGTGGTTCTTGAGAAGAAGTTGAAAATGTGAAAAGTTAAATTACAAACAGAAGGATTGACAACAGGTGCTTTCAACCCAGGAGAGCTAAAAAAAAAATTGTCCCATATATTTTCCTTGCAAAATGTTGATTCCTTATTGTAGACACACCCTACCCCACTGGTCTGATTCAAACTGTGTCTGCACTTCCTGAGATTGATGCTAGCATATTTTAAAATGACCAATCATAATTCTGCTGTTCTTGAGATGAAGATGTTTCTCTATATATTCCCATGTAAAATATATATCCCTTAATGTGACCCACCCCTACCCCAAGGGACCATGATCTGAACAGACTTGAATCTGCAATACATGAGGTAGGAAATATAATGGAAATGCATCTCATCAGTATATTTATTTCATACATCTATTTACAAGGACACAAAGACAATTTAATACCTTTTACAATATCATGTCACATTTATTACGGGCATATCAGTCAAAATTCTAGATCAAGTTTTATCTTTACATAGAGCAAAACAGTGACCAGAACCAGACCCACAGTCCACACACAAGAAATCAGACAGGGCTTTAACTAATGTGGGTGTCTGTACATTGTCTTCATTTCCCGTGGCACACATTCCGTGTTCATTCCAACCCCAGGCAAGCAATCTCCCATCATCTAAACCAAATCAAACCATATTATCAGTCTCATTCACTGAATACAAATAACAATAATGACAGTTAAAGCAAATTGTCCTGAATCATGACAAAATATTGTAGGATGAGATAAATTCCTTCAGAAATAAAGTAAGTAGTCTTAACAAGCATGCACAATGCAAAAAGTAGCTATCAAACAAGATGTGTTTCTGAAACACTGATGCCCCTGCATGGAAGCTCATGGTGAAGGTTAAATTTTCTCAAATGTACAGTACCAACCAGACCCAACCTGACACAAAGCAGTCCCACAGCGGTCCCAGAGCAGTCCCAGCGGTCCCAGAAAGCAGTCCCAGCAGTCCCAGTGGGCGGGGTTAATTAATTTAATGGGCGGAGCTTACTCAGAAATGAGATTACCAATAAACAATGTAACTATAAAAGGCAATTGAAATTGATGATCCATTTCTTTCTGAGCAGTATCAATTCTCATGCGACAGTCATTTTTTTACTGTTAAGAAAATCACACTACACGTATATAGAAACAAATAATAAATATTGAACAAAGAAGACGTTCACACCTATAAATAACATGAATATTCAAACACAGTTTTGTGGTATATTAATTTTTCACCAAAACAAATCAATTTCTAAATTACTGTGATTGATATTGGTTTCCATATTTATTTTTTTTTTTATTTTTTATAGATAATTAAGCTTGAGTTATTTATTTTCTATCAAAACTAGCTTTAAATAGGCCTTATAATTATAGAGCAAGGCCGATTTCCATACTATACTCTGAATGCAGTTTTCTTAAGTACTGGAGCTTTTGAAAAATTCTTTGTGTATTATATTTCAGTCATGATTATTTTCACTGACTTGCCAATTTAATTATCTTTAAATTATCTATGTAACAGAAAACAATAATACTTTTATTATATAAACGTTTGAGTGTACATCTGTAAATCATGCGAATGGAACCATTAAATTATGTTCAAAATTAATTAATCCCGAAATAAATTTATACACATTTATTGAAACGAAGATTTTTTGCAGTACATAGATTGAAATTAGTGTCATTGTTGACCAGCATGTTCAGTGATGTGTAACACTGATACCCAAATAACATGCATTGACTTTCTGCTAATCATGCCCGAAGGCGATTGAAACTTCAGGTGTTGACACCATTTTATACATTTGTATTGCTTTTTATTAATCGGCCAGGAAAACACAAGCAAAACAAATAAGAAATAAGTCACAATTCCCAATATTTTAAAATGTTTATAAATTTACTCTTTTAATTACTTGTTTATAAATCAAAAACAAATTCATAAATAAATCCCCCAATAATTGTTCACAAATATAATTTTTTAAATGACTGAAGAATGGTAGAATAATTTTATTTCATGGTCATTTAATAAATTATTAGGCTTTATTTGAGTGCGGAAAAAAATAGCAAAGAATGCTCTTTTTTAGCATGCATATGGTTTTAGCTTTTTAAATTTAAAAAAAAAAAATCCAGTGCAGTACGTCCCTCTGAATGTCTTATTGTAATGACAAGTTTGTTTTGTTTTTTTTTTGTTTGTTTGTTTGTTTTTAAATAGTGCTAATGCAAACTTTGAGTACATTCCGTAACTTGACAGCATTAATTAATTAAATAGGCCTCGATATTTTTTTTTCAAACACCTGTATTAAAGTTTTAATTAGCATTAATTAATTAAATAGGCCTAGATATATTTTTTTTCAAACACCTATATTAAAGTTTAATTTAAAGGATGAAAGTCATCTCCTGACTTCCCTTTTAACTACTTTCATTTTTTAAAATTAATTCTAGACTACAATTGTCTAAATTTACACCCCCTGAAGACATTTAGTAATTACATGTATATTTATCTCTACTTATTAAAAAATCCTTGTTTTTTTTATTCTTTATCTTAAACACCTCTCTGCTGAGAGTAAACAAAACAACAACAGGGAGCCTGCAAATTCAGAATACACAAGGGGCGGAGCTATCATGTCACTCAGAACCTTTTTCATGCATGAGTGAACAAAGCAGTCCCAGAAAGCAGTCCCAGGGACTGCTGGGACTGCTGGGTCTGCTTTCTAGAGCAGTCCCAGAGCAGTCCCAGAGCGGTCCCAAAGCAGTCCCGGGGACTGCTTTCTGGGACTGCTTAGGTGTCAGGTTGGGTCTGGTTGGTACTGTAAGTCAAACTCCAAGGTCAAGAGATAAAAAATGTTGGGACCCAAGAGAAGGAATACACAAGTGAAATATAGAAGCCCTAGCATCAAGTTCAAAAGTTGAACTAAGGATAAAGTTTTTGAAAAGTAGGTCAAACTCTAAGGTCAAAGGGTCAAAATTGTTGATACCCAAGGAATGGTCTTGTCAAAAGGAATACACCTGTGAAATATAAGAGCCTTAGCACTAATCATTCAAAAGATATGACCAAGGTTAATTTTTTTTTTCAAAAGTAAGTCAAACTCCAAGGTCAACATCAAAGGGTCAAAATTATTGGTACCCAAAGGATGGTCTTGTCACAATATACCTGCGAAATACAAGAACCCTAGAACTAACCGTTCAAAAGTTATGGCCAAGCTTAAGATTTCAAAAGTATGTTTAACTTCAAGGTCAAAGGGTCAAAATTGTTGGTACTCAAGGGAAGGTTTTGTCACAAGATATACATCTGTGAAATATGAATGCCCTAGCATCAACTGTTCAAAAGTTATGGCCAAGGATAAAGTTTTTCAAAAGTGGGCCAATTGCCAAGGTCAAGGGGTAAAAAATACCTGCACTCAAGGAAAGGTCTTATCACAGGAAATACACGTGAAGCATGAAAGCACCAGCTGTTTAAAAGTGACAAGAAGTGATGAATGTGATGGAGACAGACAGACAGACAGATGGTGATAACAATATACTAGGGATGGCAAATTGCAATCGATTAGCCAGTTACTTGGTCAGAACAATGATAATCGGTTAGAAAGTCTGTAATCGGTTAGTGGGAAAAAATTAATATATGCATAAATTTAAACACAATTTCCTGATAATTCAATTTTAAAATACAAATCAAAATATCTGAAATGTTAGCATTTTCACCTATCTATTTACACCGATTTGGAAATAATTAAGACTTTCCAGATTGACTTTGTGGAGGTAGTATAGTGACTCGATCTGGTAAGTGTTGTGGCCTATAGACCTCTTTTCTTTTAAATTAAAATATAATATATTATGTAGTGTTATGATCAAATATAATCAATATTACTACATGTAACATCTTTATATTCTTGTTTATTTGAGCAGAGCTTACAATGATGAAATTTGTAGAGAATTTTTGATACGATTAACCAATTAATCAGTCGGACTGTCTTGTGGTTTGCCCATTGGCAATTCAGTTTTCACTTGTCATCCCTACAATACACCTAACTTTTCTTAGAAAGTGCAGTACAAAATATGTTTTGATTGAATATCATTTTACCTGTAGTGACTAAGCTATGCTCAGAGCCACATTCTAATGATTTTATATCATGTAACTCCTGTATTTGTTGTGGTTTACTGTCATGTGACTGGTCACATGATCTACCAAGCTGGCCATAATTTCCTCTGCCCCAGGAATATATTCTTCCACTAGCTAATAAAAAAATACAAAAAGTACATGCATCCATTTCAGCATTCAGTATCTTAAATAATGTATGTAATAATTCAGGACAATTGTAATTACCTACATTTATCACTATGTTGTAAGATTTGCTGAAGCTGAAAAAATTATTCTAACCTTATAATTTTCTGAAAAAAAAGCTGCAAAACCTTAAGCTTAGTGGGACATAGAAATTATCACTTCAAAATAGGTACACATATGTTTAAATATATCAGGAAATGAGAAAATTTATACCTGAACTGGGAATCAAACTTACTAGTCATTAGTAGTCAAGTGCTCTAATCACTGAGCTATCCAGACCAATATCCATCGTACATATAGCCCAAACTACTGCTTCCTCCCTCCTTAAATCATTTTAGCCCTCAAAGACACCCAAAAGCCATCATAGGGAACCACTCTTCAACTGAATGATAAACCAATGACACCCCAGGGAAGATTTAAATACAGACTTTGTTAGCATGTAAATCTGTCATTTTATTTTGTACAAATATATCAATTTGACTTAGAGAGGAGGAATGTAGTGGTCTGGGCTATATGGATGGTGGATGTTTGATAGCTCAGCTAGTGGTTAAAGCTCCTGACTTGTAATGCAGGGATTGATTCATTGTCTAGCCATAAATGTTCTTTTTTCCTGTTACAATGGAATCATTTTAATTTGTGGGGGTCAATATTCATGGGCATATCCATAGTTTACTGGTTCATGGGAATGTAACTTCATGAGTAATAGATGTACAGAAGATTCAATGAACTGATACCTTGACATGGGGATATAAGGGTGGCCCATGAAATCCATGACCATTAGTCCCCCATGAACAATGTATACAAGAAAAAGACAGTCTAGTGAATTACAATGTAAGTTTAAAATGGGCATTTGCTGCACTTAAATATACATGTATACTTATAATGAAAGAAAAAGTGAGCAAGCTCACATACCCCACGCTCCCCCAAAACTCGACAATGCAACACGTAATGAATGGAACAGTGCATTCTAAATACACAGTATAATTCAAAAAGGCGCATTACTTGCAAAAAAAAATCGTCACATCAAAACTTCTTGCATATAAGGACATTCAAATCTTTGTATATTACAAATTTAATTGGGCTGAAGTTTCTAGATAAATAATGGAATCAAAATTTCCTGGTAATATGCACATCTACACATTGTGTCCTAAATATCTGCAAAGTTTGACAAAATTCTGTGCAGTGGTTTATGAGGAGTTGCGCTGACAAACTGTTCATCTCTATATTCATGACATGGCCAAAAATCTAAGTTGGAAAGTGCCGAAATTCCCAGAAAAAATAAGAAAATCGGAATTTCCTGTTAATATGCACATCTACACATTGTATCCTAAATACATGTATCTGCAAAGTTTGACAAAATTCTGTGCAGCGGTTTAAGAGGAGTTGCGCTGACAAACTGTTCATCTCTATATTCAAGATATGGCAAAAAATCTAAGTTGAAAAGTGCTGAAATTTCCTGAAAAAATAAAGGAATCGGAATTTCCTGGTAATATGCACATCTACACATTGTGTCCTTAATATCTGCAAAGTCTGACGAAATTCTGTGCAGTGGTTTATGAGGAGTTGTGCTGACAATAAAACAGTACTGACAGACTGACTGACTGACGGACGGGTCAAACACATTATACCCCCCTCAACTTGTTGCGTGGGGTATAAATATATTGTAAAATGGAAGAAACAAGGTTACCTAACGATAACTATTCATCCACTTAAAGTTTTCATAGCAACATACCTGATTCAACTAGACAATGTGTCCAACCACTTGTAAACTTTGTAACAGGACCATCAAACAATGAGATGGGAATGGAAACTATTTGTATGGAATCCCCTTTGGACAAACTCTCCTGTGTGGATGTTCCATATTTCAAAGTTCCAAAAATCCACAGATTCCCTTTTTCTAAAGAACAGATGAATTATTTTTTGTACTTGTATTCTAATTTCACTAGTCTGTAAACCTTTCTTAATTCTTCTAGTTTTAAAAGTAACACATTTTTCAGATGAATAATTATGATAATTATGATTCATCCTTTTCATGTGAACCTAAACTGTGTTGCAATTTTCTTGGATTTTGCTAATCTCCATCTCATTCTTATGTTTTTTTTATATCATACTGTGATGTATACTTTCAATAACATGATGATATGACTTGTAAGAAGAAACTTCTACAATTTATTGTGAATTAAAATTTGACTCCTGACATGTGTTCACTATATATTTGATGGAAACATTTTACCTGTGAGAACTAGTGTATGAAATGATCCAGCACACAGCTTCACAAACTTGTCTCCAACAGACACTTCTGTAAAGAAGAAAGAAAATAAAAGCAACTACTGAAAGCCACCACTCAAAATAATGCACCTTTAACCCCACCCCCAACTTTCTTTGTTTCTTTGCCACAAACTTTATCTAAACCTCCCCATACTTGAGACGTCTCCCTTTATCCATATTCTGTAGGACCAATTTTAATGCAAATGTACAATGTACAAGAAAAAAAATCCTGCATCTGCATTCTGCAGAAGATTGGCCTTAAAACTCCCCCATGTCACACTCTGTAGTATATTTATATCATTAGTAGCATTTATTGACTTGATCCATTTATTCTTTTCAGGATACCTTGCTCATAGTGCAGGAATGTCTGAAACACTGTATTGGACACAGCATTCATTAAATTGTTTAAATGAGCAGATTAACAATTGCAATGAAAATCATTCCCTACAGTACTGCAGGTATACATTACAGAATTTTTTTTATATATCTTATTGGAAATATTGGTACAAGCTGAGCACTGGGATATTCAATGATTCTCACATTCTGTAGTACCTTTACCTAGTACTGGGATCTCTATCGATTTCTTCACAGCTTCAGTCAGTAAATCTTTATCCTTGATTTTTCTTTTAATCCCCCAACAGTAGACTTTTCCTTCAGCTGTAAAGGTTAAGATCCAATCAAAATATGGTAAATATTATCATTATTATTAATAACTTTTCTAATTCTGGACATCAAATTATGCAAGTTCCTTGTTTTTCAGTATTTTGATAGGGAGCTATTGAAGAATAATATTTTGGAAAAAGTTCTTGTCAGACTCAAAAACCTTTTGCCTCAAATATTTTATCACATATTAAAAATAGAACATTGTCATTATAGTCCAGGAAAATGCATTAAAAATATTCAAAATCAAACTTCAACTACAGAAAAGAATGTAAAAATTAAAATAAGAAGTTACAAATCAATTCATTTCATTTAACCAATGAATTTGAAGCTCTACATTTTACAGTATGTGCTATCCCATAAATTGTGCTAAAATTAACATATGCCAAATTATTACATAAATTGCTTGTTCAGGTGAATAGTTAATATAATAAATCTATCTGTCATTTCTCTAACATGACCTAAAATCCTATACATGTCACCTCTAAAACTCGGTCAAATGCAAAATGAACAAATTTTAATTCTTGACACATTTTCAATTTCATAGACAGCATATGATGAAAATAGTATCTTCATTTTCAGTCCAACATAGATCAACACATATAAATACAAGAGCCTAATACAGTTAATTTTTAGAGATCAGGTAACAATGGTGACCGTCATAATCAATATTTATAATAGAAATATAATGAGTAATTATTCATGGTTCAAAGATTAATAATTAAAGATTAGTTCTATTTGAGGAACTTCATAATCATAATAGTGTATTAGTATATCTCTTATGTCTGTTATATAATGATTACTATGAATGGAGTCAATAACACCTTGACATAAAAATATAAATGATCAAAAAAGTATTTTGTGTAAAATGTTAGAATTTAAAATAACCTCAGAATATGTAATTATCTATTTCTTTTTTTTCTGTATTGGTGCATTGTAAATAAGTAAGAAGTTCCATCAAAGTGTCTATACATAAATCCATTCATTTATCAGGGATCTCAGTTTCAATTGAACAAGTTAACATTATGGTCATGCATTGACCTTTTTCATTAAATAACCACATAAAGACAATCAAAAAACTTCCAGTGGTTTAAATAGTCATGGTCTTAAGTCAAGGCTTTTCGGTCCACTGCGAGTGTAGCAGACCATATACCCTTTGCTTGCAAAGATGTGGCTTAGTGAAAATTTCACAGTAAGTTTATTCATTTGGATGTCTGGATTATTGCTTTACTTATTGATTTCATTATACCATTGATATGCTATCAAGTAGATACAATACAGTACTTTAATACTTAAGAGAGTTACAGCACTTGGTACAAGGATGTGACAGGAACACAACATTACGTTTAATTATTAAGCACTTGTACAATGGAATTAACCTTATTGACAAATGTACATGACAATTTAACCTTAACAAAGAGGATGTTTGTTATCTACTAGAACATATATTAAGAATATGGGGGGTCTGTTTTGAAAACTGTGGTCATTACCGACAGGTGAAAAGCTAAATATTCCACTTCAAAACTACTTCAACATAAAAGCAAACATGTGTTTAATCACAGTTCTCAAAGCAATTGGGCCAACCCATGCTAAAATATTAATAATATAAATATAAATAATTACAATTAAACTTATAAAAGAAATGCTTTTTGTCAATTTATGCATTATTGATTTATTGTGAAGATTCTTTATATTTATTTATCAGATATCACTTGACATGTGTATACCTATATTTTGGCCAATTCATTACACTTACTTATTAATTAATGATTTATCTACCAACTCTATCAAAGCTTTAATATTGGGTAATACCTTCACAGTTTGTTTTGCAATTTAAAATACCCCGGTAATAAAACTATAAATTATACAAGAGGCCCATGGGCCACATCACTCATCTGAGTCATTATGTCCTTATTGTTTTTCATCAGCGGACCCCCCCTCCCCCTTATATTCTTCTGTAAAGTTTGATCACCTATTGTAGCCCCACCCTACCCTGGGAGATCATGATTTGAACAAATTTGAATCTACACAACCTGAGGATCCTTTCATACCAATATTACTGATCATGCCTTAACTGTTCTTGAGAAGATTTTTACAGATTTTTTTCTCATATATTCCTATGTAAAACTTTGATTGCCCTTTGTGGCCCCATCCTTGCACTAGGAGTCATGGTTTGAACAAACTTTAATCTACACTATGTATTTATGAAGCTCTCAAATAAGTTTCAACTCATCTGGCTTGGTGGTTCCTGAGAACATTTTCAAAGATTTTATTCCTATATATTCCTATGTAAAAACTTTGATTGCCTTTTATGACCCCACCCTGCCCCCAGAGGGTCATGATTTGAACAAATTTCAATCTACACTACCAGAGGATGCTTCCATAAAAATTTCATTATTCATGCCTTCGCTGTTTCTGAGCAGATGATTTTTAAAGATTTTTTTCCTAGTGCAATGTATGTACAACTTTGATCGTCTTTTGTGGCAACACCCTACCCCCAAGGGGCTACGATTTGAACAAACTTTAATCTACATTGTATTAAAGTATGGGAGAAAAGGCATTTAACCCCAATAGGGAAAATTACAGTCATTAAGACATTAGTTTTACCTTTACTAAATCACATTTTAATGTCAATCCCAAATGCCTCTGAATCATACTGTAAAGAATCAGAAAAAATATTTTTCTTATTTATATGGAATATTCAACCCACAGAGTTAAAAAGAAGTCATATTGTTAAAAGCTATGAAGATGGGGGATGAAAATGTTAAACTTAATGTCTTTTATATCCTCTATGAAATTATTCTAAATTAAGACATCTCATTTTTACAATAGGAGTATGGAACACCTCATCCCAAATTTTAACCTGGACAAATTTATAAACTGGGGGGTTGATTATGTCACAACTTTTTTTGAAAACTTTGTAAAATAAATATTGGATAGATGTCTTCAAATCCTGGTTAATATTACAAAAATTATGAGAAAATGTCTGAGGTTGCTGGTGACTCACCTTAATCCAATGATCCATATTGGGGGAAAACCTTTTTATAATAAACAAATGTTTGACAGCAACATCAGACAATTAATGTAATCATTTTTAAGTTTTGAATCCTTTTGTAATACCATATAAGCAGAATTTTTAGCGAGGATTCAATTTGGCATTATTAGCGTGGGTGTTGAGATTACTAAAATTGGATATCACTAGCGATTCATTCAGCACTAAGGAGGTAAGGCTATCTTGCAAGATATTGTCAAATCGCTAAAATTACTTCTTGCTAAAATTATATACCAATTTCTATGGCATTATAGCTAAATTTGTGTCTCGCTAAAAATTCAACTTATACGGTATTTATCCAAAGATGAAGATCGATTTTCTAGAATATAACAGTATTCTTCATGTATTAAGTTTTGGATAAAAAATTCTGGCCTTGACAAACTTATCAAAAAGCTAAAATTGCCATTGATTATGTCAAATATTTTCAAAGTGATGAAATGTCACAAATCAAAAGGTTTCTTATGAAATCCTTAATAAAAACTCTTTTGATTTAGCAGGTAAAACAAAGTGGAGTGAGATTTTACAGGTTGATTATAAAGAAAAGACTGCAAACTCCAATGGACACGAATTATAAACTTTTTCTGTCAGTGACCTTGAACTTACCCAAATGTCCTTGGGTCAAGGTCATGGCACACCCTCAGGTCATAAGTAATATTTGTGTAAAATGGGAACTCACCGAGTTTATCCATAAGAAAGACATAGACTGGACACAAATTAGGAACTTTTTCTTTCAGTGATCTTGAACTTGCCCAAATGACCTTGGGTCAAGTTCATGACACACCTTCAGGTCATGAACAATCTTTTTGTGAAGTAGTAGATTCTAATGTTCCTCCGAAAGAAAGATATGGACTGGACTCCCTCCCCCCCCCCCTCCCCCAGGGTCTTGAAAATGTATATGCACTATGGATATAAAGAAATTGTAGCTTTCATAGGATGTCAAATGTCTTTACTTTCTTCTGGTTGAAGTTTTATACTCATTGATATTAACAGGAATGGATAACAGTAATAAGTCTATGAAAAACACTGTTGAAACCCAAAATTTGCCACCATAAGAGGATGATCATTTGATTCAGAGGAAATGACTGGCAGAGGTTTTGGAAATAAATAATCTGTCCTCATGCAAAAATGTGGAAAATAAATAATCTGTCCTTGTCTCTCCTACCTTCCGCTTGTCACACATTTTTCTGTGAACAGGAAAATAATTCTTTTCATGATCATCTTCGAAATAAATAACATCCTTCATTATCAAGAAAATAAATAATCTGACTGTGTTGCGCCTGTATAGCAAACCTTTAGTGTTGTTTAGAATGTATGTTTCTTAGTTATGTTTTCGTTATAGAACTAAAGATGCATGTTTACACTTGGAACAACAAATGTCAGTGTTTCATTTTGATTACGCGGATTACGTTTACCTGTAGTATACATTTCCACTTTTGTCTATTCTAGAAGAGTGTCTCTTAAAATTATTATGTCTTGTAGAACTTAGCATCAAAAGATTTATTTATTACCGGGATTTCGTTATATGATAACTGGAAATGCATGAGATTCAATATTTGCGGAAACTGTATGGTAGAGATGAATATATCCGGAATATTGACGAGTAGTTTCGGGATATATAACTCTAGAAATAATAAGCTTAAAATAATTATAAAATTATAGTTATATAAAATAGATCTTTTGGAGTATTATTAGAAGGTTGGTTTGTCCTAGTTTATTGATAAAAGTATTGTTTTTGGAGTTTTACATTTTACAAATAATAAGCTTAAAATAATTATAAAATTATAGTTATATAAAATAGATCTTTTGGAGTATTATTAGAAGGTTGGTTTGTCCTAGTTTATTGATAAAAGTATTGTTTTTGGAGTTTTACATTTTACATATGACGTAGTCGCAGCATCACTTCGTCACAGTATAAAAGCAGCAAACTCGAAGTGTCGTCGTCAGATCTCCTCCAGAAGAAAAGCAAAAAGTCGGTGTTGGTCGGTGCCAGTAAAGTTTAAGGTAAATTCATATTTTAGATAAGTTAGAAAAAGTTAAAACCTTCTAAGCCTATTTAGATATAGTATATTAAAATGTAAATTCTTTAGAAAATATTTGAGAATTTTTATTAGTTTAAAGTATTCAGTTATTGACTACTCGGTGTGAGATTCTGAGCCAAAGTTTGTTTCTTAAATTATTACAATAAATTTTAGTATTATTGACTGTGCAATTAGTTATACTTAGTAGTAGCAGCAGATAGCACCGAACATCTTGAAGCTCCGGAAATCGAGAAGTAGTACAGGACACCTAGTAGCACCGGAAACCGAGTAGCACCGAACTCCGAGTAGGCCCGAGCACCGAGTAGCACCGAACACCGAGCTCTGTGGAATTTCGGCAGTATACTTAATATTGAAGAGACATTTTAAATATTTATTGAACTTTATTGTCTTTGATGCTATAATAAATATATGTACTGATGCTATAATAAATATATGTATTAACTGTTTATATATATTTCTTTCCTTTATTAAAACTAGGTACCTTCTAACCCAACTATTGTAACGTGCCTCATAAGTACCGAGTTGATGCAATATTACACGTTACAATTGGTGGCAGCGAATTTATTTATATTTACTTAAAAATCCAAAACGTTACAACTGGAAAAAAATTGCCATCCTCCTCCCACCTTTCAGAATCAAATTATTTTCCCCGTGGTATCAAAATCCTACCATGAAGTGCTTAATTGCTAGTCTGTTGAATGTTTTGCAAATAATTTGCAGTATGTAACACATTAAAAATGAAAATAAGAAATAAAATATTTTTTCAGTTTTTAGCAATTTTTCATCAATATCACCTAATTTTATCCAAATATTGCTATTAAAATTGGCACAAAGGATTCAAGGCAACTTTTCACATAATGACACTCATACTTACAGCTGTTGAATAAGCCTTAAACATATTCCATTGCAATTTGTTCTAGGTCAGGGTAATTTAAGTATAGACTGACCTGACTATTAGTCATTATACGATTTATACTTCGAAACGAGACCTGCTCCTAAAGCTTCAACCTAGTCATTCTTCTAGAAAATACTGAATGAAAATGCAGCATCTGAAACCTGACTGGTACAGTACAATACTATGAACATACTAGATGCATCATCCTTGCAACTCTGATCAATGTAGGGCATAGTGGGTATGGTAAAAGCTTCAACCAACTTCATCTTTTAAATGTAAGGAATGTGTGGCATTTTACAATGCCATAAACAAAGGTACATAATTTGGATCTCATTTTTATTAAAACTGCATCATCCTTTCTTACGGCAAATGAAAAACATGGTTCTTCAACATGTGCTGGTTGAAGCCTAAGTTTTCAATTACATAATTCCTCCAGATTTCCTGAAAATGCTTACATGTAATAGATTCAATCCTTAAAATGAAACTTATATAAGCATCCAAATGACAAAAAAAAAAAAAAAGCCCACAGTCATTACAGCCATTTAACACCAAGGTTGGAATTCACACATTCTTTATTAGAACTGCATATATTAGTGTCATCATCATGATCATATTCTTAAAGACTTCTGAGTTATCAAGAGTATTACATATATGATTTTATAAAACGGGCCTTTAAAAAACTTCAAAAGATCAAAAACAGGTTTGAGATATCAAAAGCAAATTTGCTTCATATATCTAGATTCCTTTGAGAAAACAAGATCTCTGAGAAATAAGAGTTGGAGCCATTGAGATTCGCCTGTATCTGATGAAATTATGAATAAGCTACACCAATTTTTCCCTGCATTAAATTTATATAAAAACATATTCTAGCAGTGTTCATGATATAGCACACAAATGATTGTGTCAAAATATGAAAAGATTGGTGCTCATAAATAAGCATACAAAGGATTGTGCCAAAATATGAACAGATTAGCTGTTCATGAATAGCAAGCACAAAAAGGAATGTGCCAAAATATGAACTGATTAGGTGAACTATTCTAGCAATCTGAGCAGATACAAGTACAATGGAAAAGTCTTGGCTATAAGTATGAGCCTCAAATAAAAGTTTAGCCCTCACCTTATGTCTAACTACTTCTTATGTAAGAACATCTGAAGAAATACTCCAGCTTTGTTACAGTGTGTGGCTTATATAAGAACTAAATTCAAATTGTTTTTTATTCATAACTGTTTAGATATAACCTCTTGACGTGACATCCAAGTCAGTGTCAATTTAATCTCTTTACCACTTGTTTTCCACATTTCAAAATACATTGTATTTGTACTCTCCATATTGTCGGAAAATACCATTTTTTTTTTCAAGAGTGCAATATGTAGTACTTTGTTCTTTTAATGAGAGATTAAATGTCAAGCCTATGTTTGCAGCTTTATAATCTGTATGCTATTATATAAAACATAATACATTTTGTACTAAAATACTAAATTTACCTGTCAAAACTGCTGTATGCCTCAACCCTGCAGCAATGTCAATTATTTTCCCATAATTTGCTGGTAATGGCACTTTCATCTACATAATAAGACTTTTGCTTTAAGATCATAATTTGTTTTTTTATAAACTGTGTTTCTTCATTACATGCATAATGTGAATACACACAGCAGAGCTACTGTTCAGTCAAAAATGTCACACAAAATGAGTACTTAATTTAAAATGCTTGTAAATCTGTCAACATAAAAGTAAAATGTAAAATAATTTTATGAACCATGTCCCTACATATGGTATATATACACTTGCTATTCATTCCTACCTACAGGTATTGAGGTTTGAGGGAGTCCCCCTGGGTGAAAACCCAGCTGTCCGAACTCATTTGAGCCACATACAAACATGTCTCCCTTTTCTACAAATAACAAACATAGGTATTCAAAGATTTATAATCACCTCGAGAAATGTTATCTATAAAGAAGGCAAATCTCACACCAATTTTTTTTCTAGTTAGTGTGCATACCTAGATTCATCATCCATGCAAGTTTAATCATAACAAGCCATATAGTTATTAAGCAATGCCAAAAACATTACCCTAGTCACCCATATAGAAAATGTAGGTCAGATACAGCATCTGAAGCAAGTCTGGTAGTGCCCATCCCTAGACACATCATCCATGCTAGTATGGTTTTGGTAGAGTTAATTGTTACTTGGGAATGGATTTGCTCCAAAAAATTTTAACCTGGTCACTCATCTGGAAAATGTAGGTCAGATTCAGCATCCAAAACAAATCTGATAGTGTCCATCTCTAGATGCAATATCCACATAATTTTGGTCCAGGTAGGGTTTATAGTTCTTTTGAGAATTGACCTGCTTCAAAAACTTTAACCTGGTCACTCATCTGGAAAATGTAGGTCAGATCCAGCATCTGGAACAAGTCTTGTAGTGTACATCCATTGATGCATCATCCATGCAAGTTTGGTTCAGGTATGCCCTATACTTTCTTGGTAACAAACCTGCTTCAAAAATTTCAGCTTGGTCAATCATCTGGAAAATATAGGTCAGATCCAGCAGCCGAAGCAAGTCCAGTAGTTTGCATCTTTAGATGTATCATCCATGCAAGTTTGGTCAATATAGGGCTTATAGTTACTTGGAAACGAGATCTGCTTCAAAAATGTTAAGCTGCTAATTCTTTAGCTGAAATTGCAGGATCTGAAAACTTCACTCGTACAATGAAACACACTAGTCAACTTTGTTGAGGTGAACTAAAAATCAGATTCTTTGATCCGCTCATATAGATCACTACACAATGAAGGATCTAAAAACATCCTGTTTGGGTTTAGCTCAGATTGACCTATTACGTAAATACAGACAATCTTAACAGAAATGATTAAACAGAAGTCCAAAAATTCAGGAAATTATATTCCTGGAATAGTCCAATATGAACAGTCGCTGACTTAATATCACATTTAAACAGATTAATTTTCAACCATTTACATTTCAACATACTGCATATTACAACCCTTTGTTTTCAGGATATCTAGTAAATTTACCTACCTGAAAGAATCACTGTAAAGTCCCATCCTGCTGACACCTTTTCAACCATCTCTGGTAAGTCTACTTTTGTGAAAATTGGCACATCATTGTAGTGATTTAATCCAAGCTGACCTTTACAGTTAGAGCCACAGACAAACAGACTGCCATCATCTGAGAGACAGAAAATTAAAATGTCTACTTCAACCAAAAGCTTGCCAAAGCTGAGGAAAACAAAATGCTGTTGACATGTAATTACATGTATGCATGAATTCTGGTAAATATGCATGAATGTTTGCATTAACTAGCTAGTACAAGAGAAATCAAATATTGTAACTGGACTTGCAACACCTTTTTTATTTATCGGTATATCATATACATTCTGAGGATTATGTAGCTTAAATTTTCCTAAACTTGTAATGAAATTGGAACAAAACTGCCAGAGAAATAACATTTTGAGAGATTTTGGTGCATCATTTTAATTACTAATGCAACAGCCTTTTTCAAAATAAAAACAGGTAATCAAAGATTACAAAGCTCACCTCGAAGACTGTTATCAGTATAATTTATGCAAATCTCATATCATATTTTCTTTAAAGTTAGTGCTGAAAACAGTATTCATGCAAGTTCTGTGAAAGTAGGTCTTATAGTTCATTGGGAATTGACCTGTTCTAAAAACTTAAACTTGTTCACTAATCAAGAAAATATCTTTCATTTCCTACATTCGAAGCAAGTCTGGAAGTGTCCATCTGTAGATGCATCATCCATGCAAGTTAAATCATAACAGGCCATACAATTATAGAGCTACTCCAAAAATATTGCCATGGTCACTCATTTGGAAAATGTAGGTCAGATCCAGCATCCGAAGCAAGTCTGGTAGTGTCCATCCCTAGATGCATCATCCATGCAAGTTTGGTCCAGGTAGGGGTTATAGTTACTTGGGAATGGACCTGCTCCAAAAACTTTTACCTGGTCACTCCTCTAGAAAATATAGGTCAGATCCTGCATCAGAAGGAAGTCTGGAAGTGCCCATCCTTAGATGCATCATCCATGGATACAAATTTGGTCCAAGTAGGACATATAGTTACTTGGGAATGGACCTGCTCCAAAAACTTTAACCTGGTCATTCATCTAGAAAATGAAGGTCAGATCCAGCATCCGAAGCAAGTCTGGTAGTGTCCATCTGTAGATGCATCATCCATGCAAGTTTGGTCCAGGTAGGGCTTATAATTTCTTGGGAATGGACCTGCTCCAAAAACTTTAACCTGGTCATTCATCTAGAAAATGAAGGTCAGATCCAGCATCCGAAGCAAGTCTGGTAGTGTCCATCTGTAGATGCATCATCCATGCAAGTTTGGTCCAGGTAGGGCTTATAATTTCTTGGGAATGGACCTGCTCCAAAAACTTTAACCTGGTCACTCATCTGGAAAATGTAGGTCAGATCCAGCATCCAAAGCAAGTCTGGTAGTGTCCATCCCCTAGATGCATTATCCATGCAAGTTTGGTCCAAGTAGGGCTTATAGTTACTTAGGAATGGACCTGCTCTTAAAACTTAACTGGGACATCGATGGTATAGCATAAGCTCATCTCGACTTCGTCGAGGTGAGCTAAAGAAAAATATACATTTACATTACTTATATAAATTTTTAATACTTATATACTTTATATAAAGTTTTAACACTTAAAACTTAACTGGGACATCGACGGTATAGCATAAGCTCATCTCGACTTCGTCGAGGTGAGCTAAAGAAAAATACACATTTACATTACTTATATACAATGAAACTTGCCTAATCCAGATGCTGTGTATTCCAAAATCTTGCCTAATACAATGTTAACTATCAGTCCCTATCAGTAAATTGTTTTAAATGTTTTTTTATCCAGAATGTTATCTAATAATTAAGGCCAATTTCTTTGGAACCAATGGTGTGTTTACTGTTCATATATATATATATATACACACCTGTATATATATATATATATATATATATATATATATATATATATATATATATATATATATATATATATATATATATATATATATATATATATATATATATATGTATAACCTTAGGAAGAATAACATTTTGAATGAATTTCAAAGATTATTCTAGTTTTAGTAACCATGGCAACATTATTCATTGAAATTAAAATACTAGTACTGATAAACAGAATTATGAATCTAAATTGTAGTCTACTAAAAGTATCAACTTTATCTTAAATCAGATCAAACTGTAAGAGTAGTATTTTGAATGAATTTTCCTGATAATTTTTTCCCCATTAATATACACTTGTCTTCTTACATTTACCAAATTTAACCAATATCAGAAAATATAAATATATAGGTTGTTGCTTACCCTGTATTATGACAGAATGACCACCCCCTCCTGTCACTGATCTGATCCTATTGGCCAATGGCTGTGGGGGAGAACCATCACAGAAGTCAGGGAGGGAAACTCTTTGAGGAAGAAGCTGGTCATCTTGATTTCCAAGTCCTAACTGCCCATAACTATTTGCTCCCTTTAAAATATATTACCATGATTACTGTGCATAACTATTTGCCCCCTTTTAAAATATATTACTGTGCATCACTATTTGCATCCTTTATAATATGATATTAATTCTGATAATAATCAGGACCCCATGTTCACAGGTATGAAAATGACACAGGTTCCTGACATATGGATGTTGTTACCCCCCCCCCCCCCCCCTTCTGAAATCTCTAAAATGAAATTAAAATGGGAAATGATATCAGAATTAAAAAGATATGCTAGGAATTCATGTATTTTTGGTAAATTATAGTGTGTTAAAAACATTTTTGAAAGGCTGTGTGTAAGGGGGGGGGGGATGATGGGGAGTTACCGATACATCATTCATCTTTAGGTGCCTGTGGTTAAGCAAAAACCAAAGGTTGTGTCACCAAAATTAATAAAATTTTGTTAGACTGATGAATTCCTTAGCCCAGGGATGTTAATCTGACACTTTCACCAGGAGGCTATGGCTTGGTGTCCAACTGCGAACTACAGACTCCTGGAAAGACCTTTAAAAAAGTTAACATCTCTGCCTTGGACACATTAGTCCAGATGGCAAATAAAAAATTCAAAGGAAAAATGCAAAAAATATTTAAGAAGGTTCACTAGTAAGTACATGTATCTTTGTAATGGTATATGAGCTGGCTGTTGAATTAAAGGTAGCATTTAACTTTTAAATTAATATTTTATCTTATTAGAGTACACGTGTAGACTGAAAAATGAAGACTCCATTTGAAAGATCTATCATGTACCTACTGAAAAGTTCAGAAACTCTGTCAGTCTGAATGTTTGAAAGTCTTCAGAAAATTTCAAAAACCGGTCAAATGCTGTAGATCACCAAATTTTCGTGACATCTTATTTCCACAAGATGGTCATTTCGTATTTATAAGCGAGACATAATTTTCACAAACTTTAATTATTATTCTACATATTAATCTTTCGTACTCCATGTACAAATATTCGTGAGAAGTAAATTTTTGCGAGCAGGCAGTCTCGCATAATTCTGCAAAAATAAAGTTCTAAGGAATAAAAAGTTATTTTCAGCACAATATCTTCAATCTTCATGCATATACAGTATACACTACTGTGCACACTGTAGGTTCTCCAGTGTGCAGTGGGAAAACTTATCAATATATCAAAAACTAAAATTCCATCCACAATTAATAACAACTGATAACTGGTAGACTGGTTCATATTTTGTGGTCATTCTATTTTATTTCCATTAATAGTCTTAAATTACTGATTACAGAGAACAGCAAGTAAGAAGTCATTAAAATTTACATTAGTAAGTAGATCAGTTCTCCTATCCAAGTAGTTTTTACATATTCTTTATATATAAATCTGTATGTGAGTCTGTAGCCTCAGAGGGAATACATATATTCTAAATGTCAAGTGCTTTTTTTTTTAATTAAAAACTAGAAGTCTTTGATCATGTTGATAAGACTGTTGCTATACTTGTTGTCTAAAAAAGGAGGAGAAAAGTTTATCTAGCTTTGTAAATATATTGGAATTGTGTACCTTGAATCTAAATACATGCATAAAAGTAAAAAAAAAAAAAATTAAATATGGACCAAACCTAAGGAGGAGTAGGAATATGAAAGAATTTTACTCAATTTCTATTTTTAGTACATGTAAGTAAGCTTTACCATGTTTTCAATATCATTCTTTGAAAATAAGAAGCAATACAATGACTCATACACCTGGATATGGTTTACTTATGTACCATGGCAAGTTTTGATGCTATAGGACAAAATTCAAGGAGTAGCATTTTTGAAAGATTTTCACAGAAATTTATATTATTAATAACCATGGCAACACTGTTCCTAAAATCAAAAACTGATAACTGTAATCATGTATCTTAGTGTAGTCTATTTGTGTACCAAGTTTTATTCAAATCAGACCAAAACTGTAGGAGTAGAATTTAAAAAAAAAAATCACAGAAATTTCTATTCATAGTAAACATTGCAAAATTGTGTTAGAATTAAAAAAAAAATAATATATAGAATTAAATATTTTAGATGTCTATTTGTGTACAAAGTTTTATTGAAATCAGACCAAAACTAGGAGGAGTAGCATTTTGAAAAATTGTTTACAGATCAAGAGAGAGACACACAGATTATCATGTACATGTACATCTTAAATTTCCATAAGCTCTTCTGGTTTTGGACCATGCAGAAGAGCTAAAAAATGTTTACAATCAAACAAAAAGATATAAAGATGGATAATGGACACTTTACCAAAGCATAACCTTTTCTAGTCTTTGCCAGTAGAGCTGAATAAAAGATATACATAAATTCACAAACCAATTTTTTTAATACCTGACCAATAACTTACATCATAATTATGTACAAGTACTTCAGGTGTCCTTCCATAGGTGAATCTGTGTTTTATTACCATCAACACTGAACAATATGTTATACCCTTTTCACTCTACATGTATACATACGAGGTTACATAGGGGTTTCTAAGACAGCATATTCTGATTACTGTAATAAGTAATCTGAATATAGTACACACACTCAGACTAAGACAGGAGAACAAGCAACCAATGAACAGCACAGTAAACTCTCACACACTATATACAGCCTATAGTAACACTTCCTTTTCTCTCTTCTCTCTCTCATCTGTAATATATTCTTTATAAAGGGAAGTGTTAATTTATGCTGGGTAGTGAGGGTTTACCTTGCTGTTCATTGTGCATGCTCTTGAGCTGTGACTAACATGTAATTTTTAGATGCATTGCTACATAATGGGGTAACAGCTTGATGCTTCAATCATTATTTCTCCAAATTTTTCATGTAAAACTCTTAAGAAATCAAATTATTCACTGAACTCCGAAGTAAACATCAGCCAAGGACATGCATGATTCATTTGGGCTCAATGAATGTGTTCCAGCTGCCAAATTTTACCTGTTCACTCAAGACAGAGCAGCATACTCAAACACATGCCTCTGCTATTGATGCAAGTTTCCTCCAGAGTCATGAACATAATCAATGTGAGGCTGAGATCATTTATTGTTGATCACTACAGATATTATGGAAGTAGATTAAGCTCAGTGTATGCTGTTACTGAAAGTGAAACTTAACATTTAGTTTGTTTCTTTAACAGTAAAGTTAACAGTTTTCCTTATTGGTACACCTCATCTTGACAGGCTGCTATACCTGCTCTATATAAATATATGTAGTACAATTGATATTTCTTTATCATAGACACTCCCAGCTTAATTGTTTAATATATATATATATACATATATATATATCAGGGACCTATATATTAGTATATAGGTCCCTGTGTGTATATATATATTAGGGATGTCAACGAATAGTCGACTATTCGACTATCAGTCGAATGGACCGACGATCGAATAATGAAACGACATTCGAATATTATTATAATTAAATAAATGCAATAAAAGAGTGATAACGAGATGGAATTCTCATCAGATGAGAAACCACCTTCATCAGAGACAGTCGATAAGGTTATTTTCCTCAACAAAAACGGTTGATTTTCCATGTACGTATAAAAAATTACAGTAATTACAAGTGCTACACAGCTTCGAGAATTTTTTGTCAGTAACGGCCTGTGTTGTTTTTGTAATAAATTACCCATCAATATACTGGGCTTTGTTTGTAAAAATATTAATTTGACTTGATCTTATACCATGTACCAATTATCTTTTGTTATTTTAAGATTGCTCAAATGCAAGGAACATACCATAGCTGTGACATGTTTTGACACTTCGATAATTATTACAACAATTTTGCTTACAATTTAAACTGTTTTAAGGACTTTTTGATAGCCAGAGCAATCAATAATTGAATAAGCAGTATCTAACTGTTTAACAGTTTCATAGGTATCTGACTCGTGGATAGTGTGAGATTAAACACCCCCCCTCCCCCCCCCCCCCCCCCCCAATTTATTTCATAAGAAGTTTTTTAAAAATATCGGCTGGCAATTTTTTAATGCTTGCTAAAATAAAAACTGACTGCATGTACAGACCGATTTATGAATTCGATTGACTGGGGAAATAATACATTTTGGAGAATTAAGTGTCTAAATTTATTTCATTTAATCATCCTATCCACGCGTTGTACGTTGCATTGATGTTAATTTTTAAACAGAATTAAGTAAAAGGGTTTTGGGGTTATAAATAAGTCATGTACCAGTGAAGTTTGAAATAAGATTTTATTATAAGAAAATGTTCCGAATATTCGACTATCGTTCGAATAGTACAATCGAATAATCGACTAAGGAAAATACATATTTTGACATCCCTAATACATATATATATATATATATATATATATACTATAAACATTGGTACTGTATATTTTTTAAACAATTAAGCTGGAGAATGCCTATGATCTTTATCAATTTATTAAGCAGTTAAGAAGGGGATTGCTTAAGGCTTTATTACAAAATCCAGAAAAGTCCATTGACATTCATAATGATACTTAATTTCTACATGTATTACACAGCTGCAGCTCTTGAGGACAGCTGAATTCAATTGAATAGTAGTAAACTAACGTACTGTATCATGTGTATGACTTTGAGACAAGCGCCTGTGTTTGAGGACCTATTAGCTAAACAATTATCACTTTGATCACAACTTCACCCTTTAAATGTTAAAAGAAATTAAAAATACATATATAAATGTTACAAAAATTTATGAATAATCCAAAAAGTGTGCACAATGTTAAAATGTAGCACAAACATGATCGTGTAAATAATGTAGCTAGAGAAAATTCGGGCTGACTGAACACGAATATATATTGCTTACAATATTTTATGCATCGAATCTAAAAAAAAAAAAGGGGGTGCTTAAAGGTAACAAATTGGTTTGGGATGGTCAACATACCCACCCATGAATACAGATAAACCGTCATGTCGTGTTTTGATACATGTATAACTTCACTCTCGTGCCAGTCGTGGGAATCCAAAATAATGTCACATGACTTTGTGTGATCTGATTGGCTAATTTTTCATACAGTACATCATGTATGCCTACTATCGTTCTTTTTACTCCAACTAATTACTTCATCAAAAACTCATTTATTCTTTACCTGTAAACTTAAGAAAGAGTTATTATTATTTTTTGCTTTTAATTTCTTTATATTTATTTCAATGTCCAAGTTAAACGAAATTTCTATTGGTTTGCACCAACAAACCTTAACAAGGGCGGTATTTTAACACGTCTGCTCCAATAGCACGTAACTCATTGACTGGATGAGGAGTTGATTCGCTGACAGATGATATGTGTAATTTTCACGGCCAATCAACGCGACAAAGGTCTCCTATTGGGTTTCCTGTAACTTTGTCAAGTCAAACTTGCCAGCCGATTACAAGGTTTTTGTACAAAGAGTATTTTATCAAAGATATATCAGATTTCTATTTCATATTTATATAAATTCCAAAAAAAGTTATATTCTTCCTTAATGCATGACAATATGTGAAATTTATGTAATGTTCCGCTATGAAATAAGAAACAAGTGGTTATTGAAGAGCTGAATGCAACAGCAGAGGCATAAAGTCATGTCTCTACT